AATTCTCCAGACAGATAATGGCACCCCTTTTGTGAATAAATTGCTAGAGGGTCTCGCAGCTAGCCTTGGGATTGCCTTGAGTCATACCCCACCATATTGGCCTCAAGCGAATCCAGCAGAGCGAACTAATCGAGTCATAAAGAGCATGATTACCTCATATGTTTCTGATCAACACAAGAAATGAGACAAGTATCTACCTGAGCTGATGTTCTCCCTCAACAGTTCTCTTCATAGCTCGACGGAATATACACCAGCCTACTTAAACTTTGGACGCTTAAACTTAGGACTCTTAAATCTAGTAGTGACCAAGTATTGAAATCCCTTGATAATTGTGTTTGGTCTGATCATTTAAATAGGTTGAAGGAATTTTGGAAGACAGTGGAGCTTCAGCAGAGCTTCAGCGCGGTAAAGTAACTACTACAACCATCAACGGAAGGAAGCGAGTTCAATGAAGGAGATTTAGTACTGCGACGGGCTCATCCTCTCTCATCTGCTGAACGAGGATTCGCTAGCAAACTAGCTCCGAAATTTGAATGGCCATTTCGTATTTCATACAAAAGGTCAACTAATGTATACCACTTGGTGACACCCGAAGGCACACCAGCTGGACTTGGACATGCAGCTCAACTAAAAGTCTATTACTCTGAATTGCAGCGTGAGGGGTCTCACGATTCCGATGAAGGGGAGGTGTAATCAACATTAAGGAAGCAGGACTTTTAGTTTGTAAAAAAAGTCTTATTTGTGATTTGTTTGATTCTATTGAAGTTCAACCAGTTCGTCGTGGTTATGATTTTTTCTTAATCGTCAAAGTTATGTGAACTTCAATTGTAAATTTATATTCCAACTTGAATTAGTTTTGTTCTGACTGAGGGAAAATTAGTTTCATTAACTCCGAAAAAACATAAAGTTTAATTTTTCCAATGAATTTTTTTTCCATCCATTTTACTAGTGAAAACCTGCGTATTAAGTATAAATTGCTAAAGTTAGTCGATGTAAAAACGAAAATGAAAAGGTTGTATGTTAGTGTTTTCCATTTTTACTTTCACTTACGTATATATGTAATATATAGTAAGTGTAAGTATTGCGATCGAGAAAATTTTTGAATCTGAGTTTTCGACGGATTTATACGTTTTGAGGTATCCTGAGTCGAAATGACCAAGTCCCGACAAATGGTCTGTATGTCTGTGTATCTGTGTGTTTGTATGTTAGCAGTCTAGCTCAAAAACGAAAAGTCCTATGAAACTGATATCACGTATTTAAGATAGGTATATGCCTTAGTTGTGACGGCAACTTTTTCCTTAAAATCGGCTAACCGGAAGTGCCACTTTATATCAACGCTGAAACACATATTCACAGTTTTCTCAAAAACGGCTCTAACGATTTTGATTAAACTCGGTATATCATTGTATAATTAAGTGGTATTTAATATAAATTAGGTCTTATCCCCATTGATGTCACTTTACAGGGCTTAAATGCCAAATGTTCATATACGTCTTCCTCTAAAGTACCTTTAATATGGTTTATTTTAAAAAGATAATTATTTCGTATTATTCAGAGTTACGAAAAAATGCTAAATATAACTTTTGAAAGAATTTGATAAGTTAATAAAGGAGAAAAAAAAATAAAAATGCATAAAAACGTAGCTATAGACTGTAGCGCCTAAACGAATGTACCGATTTCATTGAAACTTCGCTAAAGTCATTTTCTCGACACCCTTCAAATTTATCTATATAACATTCATCAGCGAAAAGAAGCTGAAAAAAAGTTACGAGGGATGATAAAATTAAATGCCGAATAACTCAAAAAGTATACACTTTTTTGGGAATGTTGTGATAAGATGTTTCAAAGGTATTTAAATTGCCTAAGAAACAAAAGAAGTTTCATCGAAATCGAAGCACTATTAGTAGAGATATCGCGATTTTTAATGGTTTTCTAAAAGTTTATGGAATAGCCTAAAAAACAAAAACAAAATCGTTAAAATCGGACAATTAGGAGATAAGATATGGTCTCTAGTTTTTTTTTAATATGTTCTGTGCAATGGTTATATCCTTTGTTTCGGTTTTTGAATTTTGAATGTGTTAATAAGGTAATGCTAATTTTTTTTAAATGTATTTAAAATCCACCTAAGCAAGTTGATGGCATTGTTAAAAAAACTATTTCAGTGTACTTGTGTGAAAGAAGAAATAAAATATAAAATTATTTAATGGATGTATAAATCATGTGTTTATAATATTAAATACATTTACTGTAGTTTAGTAATTATTTATTAAATTTTAAATTGGTCCATAATCGTCTTATATTTTTGGCTACATTCAAGGAATTGCTGTGTTATATATGTGTGCGATGTTATATTGCGTTCCTGGCGTTTGAGAATTTAAAGAGAAAAAAGGAATTTTTTTTTATTTTGGGAAAGTGTTTATTATGCTATGTCTATTGTTTAATATGGTTTATTGTTGATAATTTGTAAGAGTATTGTTATGAAGGGGGAGAAAAAAAAAAGAAAAATATAATATAAAATTAATGTCCGTATGGATTGATAAGTATGCTGTGTACGAAGCAGCCCTATGTAGTATGGCAGCATTACTTTTAATAAAGTATTTTTCTATAAATAATTAGGTATTAAAGTTAATTCCCAAATATTTTCATATAACTTTTTAGAAAACTAAATTAGTGAATAATGCGATAGATCTTCTCTTTGTGATATTCCACTACCATTTCATTGTACTTGTGTGAAAAAAGAAGTGAAATTACAAAAATATTTCATAGATACGTTTATAACCCTAAATATATTTACTGTAGTTTAATAACTCTAGATCTCATAATATATTTAAATATTTAGATATCTATCGTACGTTTATTCCAAAAAATCATCATGCAACCTTTTAGAAAATTAAATTAGTGAATAGTTTGATCATTTTTCTTTTTGCGATATTCCAACAGAATCCACTTACAATTAGTGTGACAACTTTTGACCTGTCTATGACAGACACTGCAAATCTCTTAATTCCGTTTTAATAAACTTTGCAATGGAAAATAACAGTTTAATGACTTATAGTCGTACAATCCATAATCAATGGATCGAAAAATCCATAATCAACGAATCGTACAATCCATAATTAACCGGTGATATAATAGATAGGACTTTTGTTATTTTAATAGCATTTGTGTTTTTTTAGCTTTAGCTCAGTTTAAAATGCAATTTAAAACATTTTATAATAGCCTAACATGCCCAGAAAATAATTTTTATTCAAAGTTCAAAGAGTAAGTGAAAGTTGTGTGTTGCGCGCACCAGATTTTTATTCTATTAGAGCTAAAGGTGACATTTCGTTGAATACAAGTGATATAGTTACTCTGATACTACGGAAAAAAGCAGAGGAAAATAAAATATGAAATTACACTAATAAATCATAAAGAAATAATTAGTTTTTATGTTCTCCTGTAAAACACTCAATTTTTACATACGAACTTTCTTATTAACGGAAACAATATACACCTTCAGTATGTACTGGGATTTTTTTTTTAATCACGATTCATCATTTACGTGATTTGGAAATGTGGAACTCTTCCACATTTTTTGATGCACAAAATTCGTGGATATAAAACCCGAGAATGTTAAGGAATTACTGTATTTCCGAAAACGGCTTCTTCCGAAAATTGTATTCTCATACGAAAACTTATACACTTTGAAATATAGATATTGTTTAGCCAATGAAAACTTTGAGAAAGCTATAGTTGCCTTACTTATCAGACGTTTTTAATATATATAATCCCTCTCGATGTCATCATAAGCAAGTAATATTATCGGTTGTTCACAGATTTCTCATATTGTCTTAAATGAATGAGTAGCTGTTATTTCATTTCATAATTTGAATTTCAGAGAAATGTCAGTATAGACAAGACTACTTTTTAAGATATCTTAAAGAGACAATATGTGACAATATTTTATCCAATAGAAATTTATCAAAATACTTGCTGCAAGAATTCCATCAATTCTAATTAGGACTACTAACAACTGTAATAGAAATAATGATAAGTAATCGGGTAAAAATACAATTACTTCATCATTGTAAATAAAAAGAAACAAATATACTTATTTAAGATTGAGTAAATTAACTGTAAATAAACGCTTTTATCTTCATTGTGAGAGATGTAGCGCTTAATAGCTTGAGCAGAGATCCCTAAACTATACCAGAATGTGGGAGAGAGGGATGGTAATGCTTTGGACAGGGTTGTGCTTACAAACATAGCTTCTTGTGCACACTAGATGTACTCCATCATGCCACTCAAGGAACTGAGATGTTTTTTTTTTTCTTAAGGATGTTTTACAACAGCTAATTAAATCTTCAAAACGTATTTCATTTCCAATTCATGTATCAGTTGCTCATATTCACTGAATCAAAAAATGTGTTTAAAAGAAACAAATTAATCATTACTTGAAAAATGAAAATGAGTTGTATAAACAATCCTTTTGACCTTTCTAGATGTTTGGAATATTCCTGCTTTACACTTACTTAACTGGCCCGAAAATTGAGGGTGCCTTTACTTTCGGCGAGCATTATGCGTCGTATTTTTGAGTTGTAACTTTGAAGATTATTTTCACGAACTTCCATTGCCACAATCGATGAACCACCACTGAATCAGACAATTCTTTTTCTATTAAAACCCGCCACTGAGTTTTAATGACGACAATTGGAAAAGTCTGAAATCAGTAACTGATTGTTAAATAGATAACTATTAAATTTAAATTATACTTATAACTCAAACTTTACATTTGAACTTTAATGTTTAAGTATTAATTTTTACTCTGGTGCAACTGAATTTGGTAAATGGATTTCTCTCATAATTTTTGACATTGCTTCATATTATTCTAAATCCCATATTTTAATAATAAAATATTGAAATATTTGGCAGAACGAGAGTAGGAATGATCCATTGTTTTATTTTTTGAGAAGAAAATCGTTTTATTTTATTATAGATGAGATAAATCGAGGAGAACTTACCATGAAGGGGAATTCATATGTTTCAGCATTAGTCCCACCGATTATTCTGTACTGCGTTCTAATCGGGGCGATGTCGATAGAAAATTTCTTTTCATATTCAAAGCACTCTAAACATAAAAAATAACTATAAGTGAAAATCTGAAGTTGAAAACCTCATTACTATTAATTCAAGTTGAACTATCGTTAGTTATAAAAAAAAAAAAAAAAAAAAAAAAAAGTGAATAGCAGGGTTCTGTCTGTCACTGAAGTCCTGATTTTACCGGACTATACGGACGAGTATTATGTGATTGGGTTATCCGCTGAAAACTATGTAACGATTTTTAAGTGAACGGTTGGGTCAATTTTTAACTTTGATACTCAAATTATCTGGTGAGATAGTTAGGTAATTGCTTTGAATCAATTTCAGCTAAAATCGCTAATCTGTGATTGAATAAGATGTAATAATGGATTCGATAAAAAGTATGTAACGATTTTTTGAGTACTCTCCCAATAAAAATAATGAGGGGAAGAGATATCGTTTCGCTCTCTCTCAATAATTTGAAGCAAAAAAAAAATAATCTACATGAATGAATAATATATGTAAACTAAAATCTGTCAAGAAAATAGGAAAATATGACTAGTTCGTTAAGCCAAGGCCTGTAAGTAGGTAAGTATTTTACAACGACCTAAATATTTGTATTATTTCAATTTTCATTTATAATCAGAGGTAATAATATACAGTAACATATCCTAGGATTTTTTTATTCATGAATAAATTTTGTATTCACCCTCATGTGCACCACTCTACTTACACATTATATTCTTAACACTTTTTTTGCGGCAAAGTTGAAAACCATCGGCAGGAGCTCGCCTCACTGCTTCAAACTTCGAAGTCTTTAGATAATTCTCTTTTCAGAGTTCAGAATTCGGCATTTATGATGATATGTTGAAGTCTTCCTAAATCTCACCTATTTTCCGAGAACAATTGGCTTAGTCATGATCGGCAAAAAGAATATTAAGCTTCTTTAGAAGCGACACATAAGGCATCCCTTTTTCTTCTGTTGACAATGAGAGACTAAACTTAAAAGACTTTAAACAGCTCTTAAGGTAGTCTATCACCACTGGGGTCTTCTTTTATGCCTGTAGATATTTCCACACCGAGAATACTAACCTCTTGTAGATCGAGGTCCTCAGCGAGGTCCCATGACTTCTGGGTTTGTGTAATTCCCTTGATTGAGAAGCTGCTGGAAACTTTCTTTACCGATGCTGGAGTATCTTATATTTTGATGCCATCCGTTTACGATATTTTCCACTCATTTGTAGGTTTTTCACTTTATATCGTACCTTCTTTCCTGATTTCGGTGAGAAATTCGCATATATACCTCTCTCAGTTGGTCAGTTGTCTTAAATGGTTGTAATATTTCTTTAATAAATTCTTTTATTGTCTCTTTCCTTGAGGCTTCTTATTTGTCCAGAGTTGCTGGATCAGTTTTGGATAAGCAGGAATTCATTTTCCTTCTTTTTTTTTTCTCCTTTCAAGATTATTTTATTTACATATGTACATATATGAATCACATTACGTCATAATAATGATTATATGCTTGTGGTAAGATAACCTTACGTTACAAACAGACGTTATATATCTTTTAATTCTATACCTCGGAGGTAAAAGACATCATGTCCATTATTGTATTAAATAGTTTAGTAACTAAGAAATAAATTTTAATAACTTAAAGTTATGGATAATTGGCTTCCTGAACAAACATAAAAATGTGTACTTTACCTCCGGATTACAGATTCAGTAACTAAGAAACAGATTTCAACAGCTCAAAGTTATAGGACATTGGCTCCCCTGGACAAATATAAAAAGGGACATGCTGTTTTTTTCCTCCTGGGTACAGAATTATTAATTAGTGTGAAAGAGTTTATTGCTGTATTTGTTTTTATCAATATTTATAAAGCCATTGAATTATCAGACTGTGAAAACGTCCTATATTTTATTTTGTGGCTGTACCTATGCGTTTTATGAAAGGCTATCGCCCTGCCCCATGTTTAAAATATACAAATATGTAATACATTCAAGTAGATATTTTCAAATATATCCACAGGCATAAAAAGATCTACAACTATATAAATATATTGAAAGAATTATGTTGACTGTATACATTTGCAGGGATGTCAAGAACGGAGTTAAATGGCGCAAGGTGCGCCATCAAAATTTTTAGGGGAGCACATTTTGACGGGGTTTTGAATTTTTGAGGGAGGCACGTTTCGACGGGGTTATGAGTTTTCAGATTAAAAAGTTTCAAACCAGGGGCCAGAGGAAATCACAGTACAGACTACTGAAAATTTGATTGTATATGACCTATGATTTTTAAAATTTTACTTTAGCTTGCACTGTTTTTAAAAAGAGTTGAGAAATAAAATATCTTAGGTAGAGGGAGGGGGGTCGAGTGCCATCGACCTTTGGGGGGATGGCCACCCCTGTACTTTTGTAATTTTACAAAACATTTATACATAATATAAACACACGCTCTTTTTTTTTTTTGGTCAATTGCCCTCCATACCATAATTGAAAATCTGGGCCTACGGTATGTGTCGAATAAAAATTGCCAATAATTTAAAACTAAAAAGGTTAAAATATTTGAATTTAAAAAAAAAAATGATTAAAGAAATTGTCCTCTATATTGGAATCCTGTCCATTTTAAGAAAAACTTCTTCCATTTTTTAAGTATTTAACGTATTAACCATTTTATATTAAGTTATTTTAATAAGATATATCCATAATAATCATTGTGAAACGACCATTAGGAATCAATGCATAGATTTATAGTTTTGATCTATAAAAAGAACAAATAAAGAAGGCCGAATTATCAAGATAATCCGTGTAAAAAATTTAAAACATCTCAGCGACAAGTGATTCGATTTCAATGTTTTTTGAAGTGAAAACATGTTTAGGCGCGTTTTGCACTTCTTTGTGGAGAGTAGATTGGATTGATTCGTCAGATTTCCGAAGTGTTAAGCCTCGGGTAAAGTCGGCTAGAGTCGACTAATTGAGATGTTTTTACATATGGATTAAAATATTTCAGAAACTAAAAATCGGACTTGCATACCGTAAGTGAGGAAAATGTTCAGCATTTCATCCTTTTTATAATGAGATATTATTTATAATCTACGTTTCATATTATTAATCTCCCATTGTTTATATTTTTTCAATAATAAAGGACACACCTTACTTTGTTTTTTAAGAATTAATCTTCTCTTAAAAATAAACAAATAATCGTTCAAAAATTGAACACTTCCTGACTTATTCGCAAATAAAATTTTGTATTTATCAAAAATTTTTTCCAATCTTTTTTCGGAGAGGTATTTTATATAAACAAATTTAAAGAGTTCTTAAAGAAGACTTTAGGATAATTTTATCAAAATGCTTGGAGCCATTTTAGAGCTGTAGTATACAGACAAAATTTCAAATGTCCAATTTTATTAAGAGAAGCTGTAAAGATGCACAATTTAGCCAAAGTTTAATTGTATTGTTCTACCTGGGAACCAACTCTATTTACGGTAGGAAAGGTAGGGGGAATAAAATCGGTATAATTGTATAACGTATGTATAATTGTGTTCTAAAACGACTAGAAAACGCAACACCGCCTTCCATATACGACAGTCGATACAGTGTAAATTTCTGTTATTTCTGAAGGAAAACAGACAATTATTTTGATTGATTTCTAAAATAATTAATGATTAATACACCGCAAGATTCTCTTGGGCTAGATTCGGATACTATCAAAGATAGGACATGGACTCCATACAATTCTATCATGAAAAACAGTTACTTACTTCGAAAACTGATCCTTGTGTCTAGGCAACATATGTCTTCACCACAGTCTTTGCTCCCATAAAAGACAGCAAAACAATCACTTTGCGTCATACATATGCCCCGCTTATTTCCGACAGAGCAGCCTGCAAAGAAGCAAGGGACACAGCTTAATTTGATAATAACAATTCCTTGTTGATTTGATTTGATTTGATAATAACAATTTGAAATAATTCCTTATGAATATTTCTATTAATTTTCTTTCATTACTCAACTTATCACGTTTCAATAAATCATATCAGCGTAGTATAAATACAGCTTAATACGATTAAGGAATAGAAGGAATTTTTTGTACTCAAAATGTTTTTTTTTTTTTCTTTTTCTTCCCTTCCCCGCCTATTCGGCTAGACTGGATTTTTACCGGCTCAGGAGAGAGGGCGGAGCCTATAGTATTAATTCCTATTAATACCAGAGTTTAAAGTCCTTTGCCCTCACCAGGATTCGAACACATAATCTTCGATTTATAAAGTTGCCAGGCAATGGGTGTTTTATCCACTTAGCCACTCCGTCCCTTGTTATGTTATTTTACTGAATACTCTTAACTAAAATACTACACTTTTTCCCCTCTCTCTCTTTCTCTTTGTTCGCCTTTTGCCTGATCCAGTAATACTCCTGAAATTAAACCTGCAGTCGATAGGTAGATATAAAATAATTTAAATTTAAAATATATATTAGCAAAAATAACCTGTGAGATTTTTAAATGCCTCAGTTCCTAAGAATTGAAATAAAATACAACTCACTAACAAAGCCACCATCTTAATGCTTATATTGCCCAAATAAAGGCATTTATACGTTGATGGTAGCAGTCATCTGTATTCGGATCACGGACACAATTTAAAACATAATAGTAAAAATAAATTAGTTCACCTATAATTAACTCTACTCAAAAAAATGAGCAAATGTTATTAATTGTAATGTTTATAATGTTTTCTATTGTTATACATATTTTTACAATAGTCCAATTTATTTAACGATAGATGATTTATCATGATATCAATTTCTTATGTTTATAATTTAAGAGAACTGCCCGATTTTCAATAATATTGTTATTCCCAGTAAATAAATTTGCCTCTCCATTTTACATAGACCAGGAGCTATCAATTTTTCATTACATTTTGAACGCATACAGCGTGCATAGCCCTCTTACCTTAAAATGCCCTTGGGCAATAAAAGGAAATTGAAAATTTATGTATATATACATTTATATATATATATATATTGTATTTTGTAATCAAGAAATTCCTGGGGGGTAGGAAAAAAAAATTCACTACAGGGCAGTCCCTCCACGCCCAGTGGTATGATAAGAGGCCTCTGGCCACAGATGCAAAGTACGCATACAGCGTGCATAGCCCTTTTTACCTTAAAATGCCCTCGGGCGATAAAAGGAAATTAGAAATTTTTGTATATATATTTCTTTATGTATTTATATATTGTATTTTGTATAGTAAATAAATTCCTGGGGGGTAGGAAAAAAAAAATTCATTAATTCATAAACGGTATAATATTTGAATAGTGTATTTCTATTGGTGTACGTATTTCAACTGGTGATTTTTTTCTTAACGTATGTCATAAGTCCGCGGAAAAAAACAGGCGTTATAACATATTGGATCCTACATTGCTATTTTTAACAGAAGTGCTTTTTTTCTCTGAATTAATCAAATCGTAAATTGACCAAAGATTTAAAACAGGACGCTTAGATTATAGTTTATCGCCAGACTCATCTGAGAGATTAGAAGACAAATTCTCCAAATTTGTAAGGCTGGTGTAACGCCATCAACGGAAAATGATCCCAGAAGAACCTCTTATGGTAGCTCTTAGTTAAACTATTATTAATTACTTGAACTATGCATTAATTTCATATAAAAAACAACTGAGTGGAAGTGAAAAAAGGAAGTTAAATTTGAAAACTTATTTTATTAAATAAAGAAAAATGTAAATATATTGAATATTACAGTTTTTGTTTCTCATGTTGCACTACACTGATAATATATGATATCATTGATGATTTCAATTGACTTCCTATTTAAAAGAGATAGAGTACTATCATAAATAAAACATTGCCAAGGAATGTACTACTGATATTGTACATTCGAGTAAGCAAATTCCTCAATGAACTGTAGAGTTTTAGTCGTAAACGCAATTTCAAGTGGAGAGATTTTTCTTGACGTGTGCCATAATTCCGCGGAAACATAAGAAAAACTATTTTTAAGAGAAGTGCTTTTATACTCTGTATTGATCAAATCGTTAGTAAAACAAATATTTAAAATAGGTCACTTAGGTTATGATATATCAGCAGATTCTTCTTTTATTTTTTTTTTATTTTTTTTTTTTTTTGTTTCCTCTCCCTTGTCTTTTAGGCTACACGGGATTTTTCCCGGTCCGGAGGATAATGCAAGGTGAATTACGCTAAATTAAATGTCCCACCCGGCACCGGGATTTGAATTCCGAATTATTTTTTCAAGTAAAAATTCAGTAGTTAAAAATAAACTGCGGCGAAATAATGAAAAAAAATGTGCTAAATGAGGGAACGCCGCAGGTGGACGCAGCTGGATTGTTTCTGAACATGTTTACCACTATTTCACTGATAGTATGCAAAATTAAAGCAGCCTAATTTAAATATAAGTTAAAAAATTTGGTGCACGCAACACACAACTTTCACTTACCTCTCTACTTTGAATGGAAATTATTTTCTGACAATGTTGAGTAATTGTACAATTTTTGAAGTGTACTTTTAACGGTTCTATAGCTTTAAGCTTACAGCTAACAAATCATTAACACCATTAAAATAACAAAAAAAACCTATTATTTATATTAACGGTAGGCAATAAAAACCTCATTACTCCGTCTGTTTTTTAAACCACACAACTCCAGTCAATGAGCTATGTATATATGCCTAGAGAAAATATGTCTGTATATTCAACCTATAAATGATTATGAATTGTTTACTAAAATGAAATTACGAGATTTTCTTTGCCTGCCATAAATAGATCAAAAGTTGTCATTTTAAGTGAATAATGTTGTGACATCACAAAGCTTAATGAATTTATTCATGAATTAAATGAAATTATTCACTAATTTAATTTTCTAATGACAAAATGTCGGAATAAACGGACGTTGGTACCATATTATTTAAATATACAATCGGATCTAGAATTACTAAACTACAGTAAATGTATTTAAGGCTATAAACATATGCTTTATACATCCATGAAATATTTTTATATTTCACTTCTTCATTCACACAAGTACAATGAAATAGTATTTTAAACAATGTCATTGTCTTGATTCAGTGGATTTTAAATACTTTTTCCAACTTACAAAAATTTGTAGAAGTTTACCATAAGTAAGAATATATCATTTAAATTCCTTGGAAACATGTGATTTACGTTAATTAATATTAGTTTTCAGAAATTATTATTTATATTATTTTCGTAAATCTTCATTATCTTCTTTACTCCGTTACAACTTTATAAATTAGATATCATTTTTTCTGAAATTCTCCGCTTTCCAACTACACGTTTGGTTGGTTATTATACGTATAACTTCCAACTATTATTTCCGGAGATTCATTTTCGAGCTGGATAAGCATTTTTCTTTTTTCTTTTTTTTCTCCTTTATTCAATTATCAAATTCTTCCAAAAGTTATATTTAGCAATTTTTTATAATTCTTAACAACGAGAGACAGTTAAGTTAAAAAAAACATTAAAGGTACTTCAGAGGAAGGTGTATATGAACATTGAGCATTTAGGCCCTGTAAAATGACATCAATGTGGATAAGACCTAGACGATGTTAAAAACAACTTAATAATACACTGATATACCAAGTTTGATCAAAATCGTTAGAGCCGTTTTCGAGAAAATCGTAAAAATGTGTAACATCGATTATATGAAGTGCCACTTCGGGTAAGGCGATTTTAACAAAAAAATTGCTGTAACATCTGAAGAAAATGCAAACATTAAATATTCAATTTCAATTTCATACGAATTTTTGTTTTTGTGATCCTCAATCAAAAGCCGTTGCTTTCTATACAAAAATTTAAATTAAAGATTCGAAATTTGCTGATTTATTTAACGCATTTTGGTTCTTACGTTATTGATTATTATGAATTTTGATGTCTCTCCTATTAACAGAATATATAAAGGCTATGTAATTTGTTTATACACTCTAGTTTTGTTACTTCAATTTTTCAGGGTAAAATGAAGCTCAATGTATTATAGACATACAATTTATTTTACTCTACAATATATTGACCATTATTTAAAATGATTTTTTCCCATCTTTCCACAAACTGCATAATGCCATGTTCATAGAATGTCTGGAGTTTATTATTTAAAAACTTATCCAAGTGGTTATTAATGTCCTCTTCCTTTTGGAATTTCTTTCCATTCATGGTGTTCTGGAGAGACTGGAATAAGTGGTATTCACTTGGAGCTAGGCCTGGTGAATAGGAAGGGTGGGGCAAAAGGTTGCATCCAATGCTCAATAATTTATTGCAAGTGACCAATGAGGTGTGGAGCCTAGCGTTGTCTTGGTGGAACACAACACCCTTCCGATCATTCATAACTCTTGAGGATGTTCTCTAAATTCCATGTTACTATATCCGTTGGAAAGCTGAATTATTGCTCTTCAAAGCAGTGTGGATGTTTTTTTTTATTTAATGCCTACATAAGGAATAACTAAAATCTCCTAGAGATAGAATCCGTATAGATTTTTATTTTTTATCTTCATTAGTAATTTGCTTACGAAGGTCCTGTTGATGTCATTTTGTTTAGTTAATTTGGCCCTAAATTCCTGCTAAATTTCTTGTAGATAGCTAAAGTCGTATTAAGTTATAACATTTTTTGTTATTTTCAAGTGAGGGACCCTAACATTAAACCTGGAAACACCCGAGCTTGTGCAAATGGTTTTCTATCCTTGTGTGCGCGACACATTTAAGGCCATAGCAATCTCTTGGCCACAGCTATAGATATTGGACTGATTTGGTGGGATTTTGATCAATAATGGCCTTTACATTGCTCGTTTAAATTTCATGTGGGCAACCAGACCGTTGAACATCATTAATATCAAAATTTCCTGAATGAAATTTGGCAAACCAATTGTGACAGACGCATTGGTGAACGCATCATACCCATAAACACTACAAATTTTTCTATGAGCTTCTGCAGCGCGCTTGCCTCTTTTAAAATAATACTACAAAATATGCCGATAATGAATGATATTTTCTTCTATATTCACAGTGCAATAGTAAACACAATGCTAAGCTAGTTTCAACGAGAGTTTACAGATATATTCATAATTGGTAATTGGTTGACTGTCGTGGATAATGAAGAGAAGAATAGTTGGGGTGGTCAGTCAAAAAGGAAGGCAAAAATAAATGATAATATTTATTTTTACATATACCGACGTTTCGACCTGAAGTTCAGGCCTTCATCAGGCCTCCAGTGAGGTTGAAGAGGCAATGGCCAGATTTTCCACTCAAGCCATGTGTGTGTGATTCTAGCACCTCTGCTCAACCTCTACTGGTCTTTAATACCAGTAGTACGGCTTAGTTAGGGGCGCTGGGATATCGTTTAGTATATATATATATACTAAACGATAAAAATATATCATATATATATATATATATATATATATATATATATATATATATATATATATATATATATATATATATATATACTTTTACCTGTTTATCTTTAATTTGAAGGACTCCTTGTCTTAGGCTGATTTCTTATTGGACTGTTATAAAGAGACGTTTCGATCGAGTGAGACTGTCGGGTGCTCCGGCCCACCACATATATATATATATGATATATTTTTATTTCAATTATTCTCCCTTATTACTCAACAGTTATTTTTCTTTTGAATTTTTCATCCACTTTCTATTAACTTTCGTTCAATTTTCCATAATTATTCTGAGTAATATATCTCTCGTATCTATTTACGCTTCCGACGCTTTAGTTCAAACTTAGTCGGATAACCGTTAGAGATGACGCCACCTACACATCTATTCTCTCTCCCCCTCCCTTGCAACGACTTTTATTCTCCCTGCAACACTTAAGAGACAGGTAGCACTTCTTTTATTTCTTTCTTATTTCAGCTTTCTCAATTTCTTCCCTCCTTCCTTTCATTCCTTTTCTCTGTTTTTAACTCTTTATTATATTATACATTGTCTGTACATCTTGATAGACTTTAAAATATCTCAATTTTCTATCTAACTACTCCATTCTCAATGTCTTAATTTTACTATTTATTTTCATTTCTTATATAACTTCATATTTCTTTTTTATGTTTTACATTTTATTCTAAGATTCCCATTGTAACACTTATGTCACCCTTTTTGATTACGCCTACTTCATCATTCCACACTTTATAACAGTTATTATTATTTATCTCTTAGTTCTTAGTCATTATTCTAACAATTTCATTTTATTTTTATTTATTTTTTTTTTTTTTTACCATCACTACTTATGTTTCTCATACCTTGTTATCTGGTTATTTTCTTAGCCCTGATGAAGGCCTGAACTTCAGGTCGAAATGTCGGCATATGTAAAAATAAATATTACCATTTATTTTTGCCTTCCTTTTTGACTGACCACCCCAACTATTCTTCTCTTCGTTTACAGATATAGTTGTTGACATAATACAAACAGGATAAACAATCCTCCTTAGACAAATATTTTTATTTGTGTTTCTCACTGTAAATGTATTTCCCAATTAATTTCTCAACTATCTTATCTAAAGGCAACTATTTCTCCACCATTAAAAATATTAATAGGTAAAAAAAATACAATATTAAAAAAATCAATATATTACACAAAGTATTTTTACAAATGTATAAAATTTTATTATATAAGATACACAAAAGCACTTTTCTATTTCTTATGTTTTCGAAGGTGTGGTTTTCTCTTTTCAAGCCTTTTCTGTAGCTTTTTCTTTTCATTTCGCCGTTTCATGGCTATCTTTTTCTGTTTTATTCTTTCCATTTTATCTTTTTGTTTGAAAATTCTGCTCTTTTTTACTTCTGTTAATGCTTTAAACTTTACTTCTCTATCAACTTCTTTTTTCGTTTTCAATTCCATGCCTGGTAATTCTTCAATCTCTTCATTGTCTTCTGACTCATTTTCCTTATCATTAGTTGGCTCATATTTCACCTGTAAAATTTTTAATAAAATGTATAACAAGTTATACTAACAATCTTACATGGAAATAAAAAAGTTTAAATTGAAAATGCAACAAATTAGATTAAGCTTCCAAATGAGATGGATAGGATTTTATTATATTAAAAATTGGGAACTTATCACTGTTAAATAACAGATTACACATTATTACTTGGAAGAGAAATCTGTTTTGGATTATATTAAGCTTAATGTCATAAAATTAATATTTAGCAAACAACTAAGACTTTCGAGGACAAAAAAATAATGTTCATGTCAAAAATAAAGTTCTTTTCAAATCAGCAGAGCTATAAGGATGGTAACAACAAAATGTTGTAACCCCCATTGATAACCAAAATGAAATTTTGTATGCATTTTATTCAAATTCACCTACTAATAACTAATAAGAAGAGACCAGATTTTCATGTAGTGAAAATCTGAAAAACATGCAGGAAAATATGCAAAATCATGCAATAAAAACAAAAAATATGTAAAACAGTGTAATTAACACCAAAAAACTTGCACAAATTATAAATTTATCTCCATCAATTCAATTTAAATCAAATATTAATAAATTGAAATCTGATCAAACCTTTTGTTGAGCTAATTAAATTTTTTTTTTAAACATCTTTATTAAGAGATATTACAATCTGTCACTAATTAAGTAAGAACTATACAATTAAGGACATTTATAATAGTGATAAAGAGCTCATTCACAATAAATAAAAATAAATAATACAGAAATGTAATAATTCTAAAAGTAAATGTATATAAACTAAACTAAACAAAAAGAAACTAAGCTATCCAAGTACATGCTTCTATACAATATCTAAAAAAAAATCATTCACTCAAGATCTCCAAGCCGAGTCTTTCACCCCACTCGTGGAAGGAAAAGCAGGACTTAACGATATCCCAGCGCCCCTCACTAAGCCGCACTACTGGTATTAAAGACCAGTAGAGGCTGAGTAGAGGTGCTAGAATCACAGATACATGGCTTGAGTGGGAAACCTGGCCATTGCCAAAACTCTCACATATACTTATTCACAAAAGATCTCTGGGCCACTGCCACTTCAACCTTCCTGGAGGATTGTAGGGATGGGTGGTACTGGATAGAGACTGTGCAAGGGGATTTGGATGATAGGTAAAGTTCTGATGAAATTTTGAGAATTTTTCTGGGATAAGGTCAAGGACAAATGGGATATTAAGGTCATGGTGTAGGGTTTTGTTGGTTACATACAATGGAGCATCAACTATTGTTCGAAGGACTTCAGATTGAAAGGATTGAATGTGTTTGATTTTAATTTTTCTGTCCCCTACAGTTCCGGGGACGGTCATCGTCTCGAACCCTTAGGTTTGAGTCGTGTCCCTCATTGACTGCGGAGGTGCAGGCATCCTCCTGTACATCGGCAGGCAATGTAAAGCCGTAGCGATAGTAAGATTGCGGAGCCTGAGACCAATCGTGCTCTGAGGTCAGGGAAGCAGTGCTTCCCGACTAAATTGGTACTACGGGGCGTCGCCGGAGCCCCGGCGGCGCTATGGGTGGACGGCGAGAGTGCTTGCACTGTTCGGCCGTGGCGGTCGTAGTGGTCGATGTGTTTACGACTACTCGCTGCACGACACCAGTGTTCAGCTAGCCTTGACATTGTTCAGGCTATCTTCTGGTACAATGTGTGGACGAGTGGACGGAAGTTATGGTAGTAGTGTTCGTCCGATTCTGTGGGCACCTGTTGTGTGCCTGCATTCTTGGTGGTGTACCCGGTCCAGGGAGTTAGGTTGGAGGCCGGTTAAGGCTCGCGCTAGGTATGGCTTCCAACCGATGCTCCCTTGGTCCATAGAGTACCCCTACAGTTCAAGTCTGTATATCCACATATATCTACACACACAGTGTTGTAGATAAGTAATTTTTTTTCAATAGAATGTTTAGATTTTCTGTTTAGTAATCTGTATAGTTGGCTGTATCGTCGGTTAAGTTCTTGTCTTTTAAGTCTAGTATGCGGGGAGTATGTTAATCTTCAGTCTAAAAGAAAGCCAAGATACCGGACTGTGTCCAAGAAAGGAAGCTGGATGGAGTGGACACAAATTGTGTACTGGTGGACACAAATTGTGTCGGAGTGTAAAGGTAATATGTTGGCATTTGGATTCATTCACTTTAAGCACCAGTTATTACACCAGTGTTCAAGCAGGGAGAGGTGCATTCAAGCAGATTTGAGGATGCTATTTCGGGATCAGAGTCGGATGATAAGACTGTGGTGTCATTAGCGAATGTTGCAAGGAAGCTATCAAGATGAATAGGAATGTCAGCGGTAAAGAGGATACGGAACCCAAGACACTGCCTTGGGGAACACCGGCTTTGATTGGATAAATATTCGAAAACTCTGTTCCACAGCGAACTTGAAAGGAGTGGTTAGAGAGATAGTATCGGAGTACAAGGTACAAGGATTGAGGTAAATGGATTTTAAGCTTGAAGAGCAATCCAGCGTGCCATACCCAGTCAAATGTCTGTGCTATGTCCAGAAATGCACCCAAACTGTATTCCTTGTTTTATAGGGCTGGTGAAATATGATCAACAACTCGGAGTCCTTGTTGAACAGTTGATTTTTTTATATAAATCTCGATTGATGTAAAAAAAAGTTGTGATTCGAACCTTAATTGTTTTTTATTATATGTTCATTAATGGACTTTTTAAATTGTTTTAAAATTTTTATAATACATCATGTTGTACATGTTGATGTCTGTTAGTAGTATTACATCATTGGCGGTTCCTTGAATCATAGTTTTAACTGAAAGAAAGTCTATTGTTTAGGTTATCATTCTTTTCTGTGCATCCCAGTTATATAATAATATGAAAGTCGGTTTATTGAATAAAGATACTAATTACTTTTTTAATCGTGCTGAACTTTTAAGAACGTTTTGTGAATTTCAATCTTATTTATTGATTAAAAAAAAACCTTCTTTCTGATTTTACAAGGGGTAAAAAATTATCGGTTAAAAAATGATTTAAAGTTGTATAATTTCTCCCAATGACTGCAATAAGTCGACGATAGTTTTATTATATGAATAAAACATGCTGTCAGATGTGGGAATTATAAACTATAGGTAGTGTTGTAAAAGAGCTCGGTTAGAAGGTTCGAGCCTTATCTGTTTTTTTTTTAATTGTTTTTAAATTTATACAAAAGCGTAATATCCATCTACCCAAACATATTGCCAACATATCAGCCTTAAAAAAAAATTGGAAGGGGGAGGGTTAATTCGCCCCTCTCTCCACCACCAAAAAAAAAAATTAAAACAGAAAAAGTATCACCTACCTACCCAAACATATTGCCATTTTATCCTTTTAAAAAATTCAGAGGGAGGATTAATCCTCCCTTCCTTCTTCCTTGCCCCTCTCCCAAAAAAAAGTTTAAAAAAGTATCACCCACCTATCCAATCATATTGCCAACATATCAGCCTTAAAAAAATTTGGAGGGGAAGGGAGGTTAATTCGCCCGCCCTCCCCACCACCAAAAAAAATTAAAGCATAAAAAGTACCACCCACCTACCCAAACATATTGCAATTTTATCTTTAAAAAAACTTCGGAGGGAAGGGTTAAGGTTAAACCTCTTGCTGGAAAAAAACAAAGAATCATCCACCTACTATTACATGTTGCCAAGAGGGGCACCTATATCACATTACATAATTGAAGAGAAGGATGGTTCCATCTATTCAACTGTAATACATTAAAACATCTATATATTATTAATTTCAAGTTGTTATTGTATATACTTACTCTATTGTTACCAATCAAAAAGTTTGTTTCAGCAAGGAGATCAGCATCTAGCTCAAGAACACTGACTGTTGCATTATCAACTTTATACTCTTTCGCTAATTGCTCTTCAAGCACAGGAATTGGCTTATAAGTTTTAACCAATTTCTTATGATACTCTCTGGACTGTAATCATTTTTCACAATTATTAATAATATAATTAACTTTTAAATAATTGGAAGAAATATAGTAGTTACTCATTATCAAATATATTGAGTCAACAAAATACTAAATTGATTCATGAGTTATGGTCATCTTAACAGTAACAGGCAGACTTTCACTATTATTAAAATAACTTCTACTATTAAAAATAACCAAAAACTAGAATTTTTTTGAAACGGCCCCTCAGAATATATATCTCTGAAATGTTTATGATTCATTTACTATTAAATAACCCACTTCCCTTTCCAGTTATTGTTTAAAATACTTTCCAAAAATATTGTTGAGTAATACCTCTTTTGGTAGTATGATTTTGCCAGTAAGAATTGTTAATTAATTGTTTTTGTTATTTTTTGAATATATATATTTTTAGACTATGAATTATATAGTGTTTTCAGAGTTTTAGTTCTTTATTATTGACATCAAATAGTAGTTATATATAAATAAATAGTAATGTTTAAAACAGAGATAGGCAAAATCGGAATCGATGATTACAACTGAAAATAGAACTTAATAACCACGCCAATTTTATACTTGTTTTATATAGCCAATTTTATATAGCACACAAATGTGACACGATTACCTGATTATAATCGGAATTGGAAAACCTTGATTACAATTGTAATCGTGTAATCACAGAACAAAATCAATGTAATCGTGTAATCACAGAACAAAATCAATGTAATCGTAATCACCTAATCATAAGTACAATATCATTGATTATGATTAGGCCCACCCATGGTTTAAATTTGATTAAAAAAAATTCTTTTGGTAACATCAATCATTTTTACTATGACCATAACCCATACATCCTGTCCAACACCACTTTCTGTAGCCTTTTAAAAAAAATTATAAACAATTCTTTGAAAGGAAAATACAGTAAATTTTTAGTTTTACATTCGATAAGATAACAATTATGTTACAAAAAATATCATCTTGCAAATCATATCGACTAGAGGTCCCCAAACTATGGCCCATGGGTCAGATCCGGCTTGCAAGCATTTCCAATCCAGCCCATAAAAATTTCTTTGATTGCATGATAAAATTTTAAAAACTATTTAAAGAAATGAAATTAAGTAAATTTCCCTAATATGATATTATTATAACATTTATTGCATGAGTTGTTTCTCTTAGAAAGCTCATTTCAAAACTGAAGATTCATTTATAGAACAAGATTTTTTTTTTTTTATTACGAACCATGGCCTGCGAAACATAGAGGAGATCTCAATGTGGCATAGGGGCCAAAAAGTTTGGAAACCCTTGATGTAGACATACTACCTTTTGCACCAATCAATTTCCTTACCAAAATTCATAACATTTTATTTACTCCATTAGCATATAACAATGATGGAGAATATGTGGCCTCCATGAGATGCATTAGGCTTCCATTAGTTTTTGCACAATGTTGATTGGCTGAAAAAGCAATCTGGCCTGTAAATGTTGAAGGCTAAATTATGTAGAATTGTTAGTGAACAACAAACCACATTGGTATTTGCAGTATCGAGTAAACCAAAATATTAATCCCTTCAATACAATTTTTTTTTTTAAACGTTTTAAGTACATTTTTCTTTCATAAATCATAATGTTGATATATTTGTAACAATAAAATACAATATTTTGAGAAGTGACACTTAAAGGATAACATGATCATTACCTCGAGTTTAATGCGTTTTTTTTCTTCTTTGAGTTTCTCTTTAAACTCTTCTTCTGCTACTTTACGCCTCTGCACTTTTCTTTTATGAAAACCAGTAAGGAATTCCCTATAAATTAATTACATGATAAATACTAAATTAAAATTTAATTTTTAATTATATACATCGAATTTTTACCATACTATAAATGATAAAATCACAAGTAATTGGAAGAAAAAATGTTTCAATGATTTTTATTATCTATCAGTAAAATCAAACTACATAAAATATTTATCGATGCCATTTTTCTGTTGACTTCATAGATCTTTAGACACCTTAACCAGCTTCTACATCTCTGGTGGTCATCTTGGGCTATTGCATACCAGTTATCAGCATGCAGTTTCTGCAGTATCTTTGTTGATTTGATCTATCCACCTAGTTTACTAATAATCTAACTATATTATACATTCACTAAAACTCAGTTAAAAGAGGCAGAGCAAATCGGCCTACAAGTAAATGAAGAAAAAATATAAAATATATGATAAGATGAAAATTCCACTCTAATAACAGGATCTGCATAGAAGGAAATCGTTCCCGAGAGTATAGATATTAAAGAGTGTTAAGATATTAAAGATATGAGTAAAGGTGTTAAGCAAGGAGACAGCTTGAGCCCCTTACTGTTCATTATGTATATGGACGAAATTTTAAAGATTTCTAAACGACGAACAGTTTTAGGAAAATGGAACATGAGGACAATATTGACGCAAGTAATGGTCTTTGCAGATGACATCGTTCTCATATCAGACTCAAAGGAAAATCTGCAGCAAGCAGTGATCGAATGGGAGGCTGAATTAGCAAGAAAGGGTATGGCAATTGATGTCGGAAAGAGCAAAGTAATGCAGATTGGACGGGATCAGGAGGTTGTTGAAATTTATTGCAAAGGAGAGGTACTGGCAATGGTGGAGGACTTCACATATCTAGGTGCAGTAATAAACAAGAACGGAAGGCTTGACCATGAAATTTCAAACAGGGTTAAAACGGCCAATGACGTGTATTACAGCTTATGCAATACAGTCATTGGGAAAAGCGAGGTAGAGAGGAATGTAAAAATGCATATTTTTAAAGCAGTATATCTACCAACCCTTATACATGGGAGTGAAAGTTGGGTCCCATTAACCAAACACCTTAGCAGAGTTACTGCTAGTGAAATGAAATATCTTCGAAGGGTAGCCGGCAGAACCAGGAGAGACCGGATTAGGAATGAAAAAACAAGAGACGACTTAGGCACTGTCTTACTAAAGGATTCTATAGAAAAGAGGCAGCTGAGATGGTTCGGGCATGTATGCCAAATGAATGAAGACCGAGACCCACGAAAATTCATGGAGGCGAGACCCGTAGGAAAGCGCCTAAGAGGAAGACCCAGATTGTCGTGGATGGAGTACATCTCCCAGATCAGGCAGAAAAGAGGTGTAAGGATAGGAGATATAAGGGCTCTAGCCCGGGACCGAAATGCTTGGGATGCATGGATCGAGGCACCTCCACGCTGAAAGGCACAAAGGAGGTAGAGAAAGAAGAAGAAGAGTATAGATAGAATCAACAAAGATGCAATAGAGCTGCAGTACATGCAGGGCTGGAAATAAATAGCCCAAGTTGGGCAAAGAAGGAGCAGACTTGTTAAGGCAGCAAAAGATCTAAAAGGTTTGTAATGCCAAGAGAGAAAAAAGATGTACACATTATATTGAATACACAGTACAAATTGAAGTGCCGTTGTTCTAATATGAATGAGGTAAATGAAACAAACAAAATAACAGTAGAATGAATCATTTGAATGGATCATTCCATGTCAATTCAATACAGAAAAGACCATTTTGAATGTTACCATCTCAATTTTGGATGATTTATTCTCTTTTGTCATAAATATTCAATGAAAAATAAATAAACATACCTCATTTATTTTTCTTTCTCTTATCTCTAGAAGAATGCTACGTATCCAGAATGGTATTGTGAGAATTGAAATATATTTCATGTACTAAAGTCTATTTAGTCTTTCTTAATCATATTAAATAGTACATTTTTAAATAAATCGGTTCACTTCTGGAACTGATAAAAATGGGGATGTATACAATATAAATATTTTAAATATAGGGATTTCTGGTTTCTCGTACCCCATCCTTCTTAGAAAAACAGATAGCCTGAAATGTAGCATTTCATTGATAATCATTCAACATAATTGGTGAAATATTTAATATTGGTTTTAGATGAGGAATACTCGGGTTTTGCGTGGTTCACAATCACTTCGTCACACTTGTTCATGGAGTGCCAAATGCATCTGGGTTTATCCGAAAGGCTATTTTCGACGTTTCATGAACAAGTGTGATTGAAGTGATTGTAACCCATGCGTTCCTCATCTAACTATTCATCTTAATATTTTAAATAATGTAATCTACAATACTTGAGATCTTATAACAAAAAATAGTTAGTATGGGTTTGTAAGAAATTTACCTAGATAAAATAGTCTCACTTGGGCATTCAAATAAAACATCTCAGATGCTTCTTGGACAATAAAAACAACAGACACATCATCAATCATCTTGACATTCAAAATAAGGGTACTAATTCACAAGAGTTCTGCACGGATTAGGCATGATTCACAATCACTTTGATCACACTTTTTTCAGGCAATGCCGAAAACAAATAATTGTAATATGTAGTTCTTTTCCTTAATAACCAAAAATGGAGACCGATTGCAGACAGTAAAAAAAAAAAAAATACGAATTATGTTTATTTGGATATATATTTCCAGAAAAGTAATAAATGAGGAGGGGATTACACCTGATGAAGAATATCTGAAAATGTTATGATATACATAATGAAAATCATCAATAAAATATGTGTATATATATATCATAGCAATACATCAAATGTCATTCTGTGTTTAACAGTTTTTAAATCTAATTCACTAAACTTTTGCCAGCATAACAGTGATTAAAAAAAATCAGAAATCTTGTTGATAAAACTAATTACCTACTTCCAAAAGTCCGACCAATGGTATTTTTGACAAATTTTCATCAAATTATTCGGTATGAAAAAATGACATCAATAACCCACTGCAGTTACTCTATTAGCATACTATATTCTTTATAAATATGATAAAACCCATAAAAAATGTTCATAAAAGTAATGAGATCAAAGGAACCTCTATAAAGAAACATTCATCTTATTACTATAACATGAAAAATAAAACTACTCTAATGTACGTGACTGATTTAAAAAGCGTATCCAATAAAACCCATTAAGTTTTTCTAATAAATGGGAATTACTAAGCTAGAAGCAAAAATAGAAAATAATAATTACTTGCGAGCCTCTTCATCAAAAACAATCGCAACTTTCGTCTTTTTATTTATTGGTTTCTTTCTTCTTCTTAGTATGGGTTCCATATTTCTTCATTACCGAAAAATAAATTAATGCAGAGTAAATTTAAAATACTTTAAATAAAGAAACAAAATAATGTATTTTAATGTATAACATTCAAAATGACAAGCATGGATTCTTAAAACTGGTAGGTTTCATATAATGATGTATTGTTCATAAACGAACCATTACAAACGACCTACGTTGGCAGTGAGAAGTAATTTGCACAAGCCAATTTTTGGCTTTAAATTCAAAGTGAAATAAAATAGAATTGCAAATCTTTGATGAAAAGTATTAATGATATTAGGACAGTTATGAACTAAAAATTAGCAATTAAAAAACTATATCACTTCATAAATAAATACCTATGATGTAGGTACATATCGAAGTACGTTTCGAAAGTATTTACACGTATTTTTCTTTTAATAATAAAATTAAATTTTTCAACAATCACTGTTTTGTATTGAACCTAATCAGCCTTCAAAGGTGGCTCAAGAAAACTAGATATTTTAAACAATATATCACTATTTGACCCTATAAATAAAGCAACACTTCTGCTAATTGCATCGATTTTTCGGAGTTGCGTCTTTCATTAGCATCTTGACTCTAGATATAAGAAGTCGCACAGTGGGCAAAATGACTGATTTAGGCGGACAAAAGTCAATCTCACAATTGTTATCCATCCAATGTTCGTTGTATAACACGATAGTTAAATAGTTTGTTCTATTTACTTCAGTTTAGGATCTTGTTACTTGGTTTACTCTGTTTATATTTTCATGTACTTACCCTTTATAATTTTAATAAGCTTATTCACATTGTTTATAATTTTGTGTCTAAATATTATGAAACTTCCACAATTCTCTATATCTTTTTGTATCTTGTCCGTTCTAGCCCTGAAGAAGACCTGCAAAGTCGGGTAGAAACGTTGGCTTTTAATAAAATAGTTTTGCCACTATTTAGGCTATTTATGACCGTCACCCCGCACCATCTCCTTCCTTTATAATGCAACGGTCAACTATTAAATATTCAATATACTACATTAAATATACTATACTACTTTAAATATACTATATTGTACTATACTATACTATCATGTTAATATCACACAAGCATCGTTGACCCTACAACATTATTTACAAATATTACAAAAATGGTTTAAAAAATGGAAAATTAAACACTTCTTCTTTCTCTACCTCATTTGCGCCTTTCAGCGTAGAGGTACCACAATCATTGAATCCCTAGCATTTCGGTCCTGAGCTATAGACCTCATATCTCTTATCCGCATACCTCTTTTCTGCTCAATCTGGAAGATGTACTCCATCCACGATAATCTGGGTCTTCCTCTTGGGCGCTATCCTATAGCTTTCGCCTCCATGAATTTTCGTGGGTCATGGTCTTCATTCATTCGGCATACATGCCCAAACCATCTCAGTTGGCTCTTCTCTATAGAATCCTTTAGAGGGTCGGTGCCTAGATCCTCTCTTATTTTCTCATTCCTGATCCGGTCTCTCCTAGCAGTAGCTCGTAGTAGTAACAGTTTCACTAGCAGTAACTCTGCTAAGGTGTTTGGTTAATATGACCCAGCTTTCACTCCCATGTATCAGGGTTGGTAGATATACCGTTTTAAAAATACGTATTTTTACATTCTTATCTACCTCCTTTTCCCAATGGCTGTATTGCATAAACTGTAATACACATTATTGGCCTTTTTAATCCTGTTAGAAATTTCATGGTCGATCATTCCGTTCTTGTTTATTACTGCACCTAGATATGTGTAGTCCTCCACCATTTCCAATACCTCTCCTATGCAATAAATTTCAACAACCTTCTGATCTCGTCCAATGTGTATTACTTTGTTCTTTCCGACATTAATTTCCATACCCTTTCTTTCTAGTTCAGCCCCCCATTCGATCACCACTTGCTGCAGTTTTTCCTTTGAGTCTGATATGAGAACGATGTCATCTGCAAAGCGTTGTTGACCATTACTTGCGTCAATACCCGCAATAGACCGCAGGGACTAGCTGCGGGATTAGCGTTCCTCCGGTCTCCCGAGTTCAGTACACTGCGCAAATACACACAAAACGGTAAACAATACACATACACTGATATAAGATCACAAAAATTACACACCCTAGGGTCATCTTTCCTAGGAGGACTCTGTGAACGAGGGTATAAATTATCCCCAGTCGTCTCGAGGTAACAGGGCCAACACCCGTAAATGGATTAAAACTGATTCAGAGCAAACAAACTAGCCTCGGAAATGGACGGACGAATCGGTCACGACATGGCGCTCTAAGGAACATTATAATTGGAACATGGAATATTAAAACATTGAATGGCAAAGTAACAGAGATCGTGGAAGAGATAAAGACATATGGTGTGGATCTAATGGACATGGAGAAGTACGTCTGAATGAACAATACATATTTATCTACTCTGGAGTTCCCGCAGGTCTTAGAGCAAAAGAGGGAGTGGGGATTATAATGAAAGAAATCCTATTTTCCAAAGTATATTCCCTAAAGAAAGCCTATATTCCCAGAGGACTGGGAACCTACATCTTCCAAAATAATAAATAAATAATAGCAAATATACACCTCTACATTGCATTTAGTAGCATTGCATCCGCACAGATAAGGAGCAATTCTATACAGATCTAGAAAAAGAAGTGACAAAAGGGTAAACCAGAAACAGAGACATAATTATAATGGAAGACTTCAATGCCAGAATTGGAAGGGACCATACAGTCGGATACCGAACCATGGGTTATCATGGAGAAAAGCACACAAGAAATAGCAAAGCTTATAGATTTCTGTGTTGATTATGACCTATTCATTGGAAATTCCTTCTATCCACATAAAATAATCCTCAAAATAACGTTCTTTGCAGAAGAAAGAAATGTAAATAGTATAATAGACTACATTATATACAGTCGAAGAATCAGGAAACTGTTTACAGATATCAAAGTAATCAGAGGTGCCGAAATTGGCTCAGACCACCTTCTCCTTATAGGAGATGCTCAAATCCTCTCTCCCAAGAGAAGTGGCCCAGAAGCTATATAAAGATTAACATTAAGAAACTTCAGACACGTGAAAACTAAAAGAAATATAAAGAACTTCTTAATCGCAATCTCCAGGAAATCGGGATGGATGGAAATGTGGATGTTCTGTGGGATAAAAAAAGAAAGAAAATTAAACTCAACAGTGATAAATCTCAGCACATTACCCTCACGCTCCGACATGACACTTGTACACCAGTTTATATAAACAATATAAACATACCCCATACAACAGGTAACAAAAATAATTCGGATTTGTTCCATATTTGGATCCGCTTTTATGTTGGCGGGGACGCTTTTTATGAAAATAAAGTCGAATTTGAGTATACACAACTGCGCATCAAGTTTTTGTAACTTTTGGGAGTTATTCGATATTTGGATCCACTCTTATGTTCTCAGATCCGTTTTTTCTGAAAATACAGTCGGATTTTAGAATGCGCAATTGTGCATCAAGTTTTAGTAATTTTTGGGATTTGATATTAGGGTTATTTATCGAGTTATTGTTATCGGGGGTGCTTTATATGAAAATACTGTCGGATTAGAGAAAGCGCAACCGCGCATTACATTTTCGTAATTTTTGGGATTTAATTGATATTACGTTTCAGTGTATATATTGTTGCTGGGGAGGCTTTATATGAAACTAATGTCTGATTTAAGATTCCGCAATTGCACATCACGTTTCTGTAATCTTTAGAATTTAATGGATATTAGGGTCCACGATTATGTTGTCAGGGGTCATTTTTATGACAATACTTTCTGAAAAGTAACAAAAAGTTGATAAGCGATCGCGCATTCTCAAATCCGACAATATTTTCATAAAAAGCGCCCCCCGATAACATATTTTATTTCCTTCTTTCCTTACCTCTCGGCAATACATATTTTTAGTAGAAGTATTTGATAATTCTACTACTTATCTGCTGGATCTTCGGTCTTCGTTAGCGGAGGTTGAAGTGGTCATCCCCCACTGATTCCTTCCACCCATACACGAATGCTTCATAGTATGGGTAGTTTCCCTTACTTACTAACTGAGGGAAATCGTCCTCTTGATGATGTAGAGTTAGTTTTCCCTCAGTAGTTTTAACATTATTGCTTCAAAAGCGGTGCAAGTCGTGATGATATGCTCAGCAGTATTCAGAACACCACAAGGACATAGGGGGAGTTAATTTATTTCGCAAAACCATGAAGCTTGGCACAAAAACACCCATGCCTTGTCAGAAATTGTGAATATTATGTCTCATGGGCATTATGAGGACACCATCGATTCCACTGCTCAATGGTATCGTCCTGTATTATTCTTTGCCATTTAGATGGATCTGCCACAATCCTTTTTTGGAGATTTTTCGGAAGTATTGCCAGGCCGAGTACAGAAACTACTCGCAATTTTTTCCTAATAAAAGTACTCAATTCATGAAAGTAATTGAGTACTGTCAATACTTTCATATTTTCCCTCGTAATGCTATACCTCAACTCGATGAATTTTGAGCTACTCCAGTCACCAGGAATCTACATTCTCTTGGAAAATTAATTATATCTTGTCGTTTGCATGATCCTGAAGGGGGAACTGGGTTTTTAAGTTTTTAAGGTGTTGAAGTTTTTAATCTTATTGTTCATAAGAATTGACACATGACAATGATTAAGTCTGAAATCACCTCAGTAATTTCCCATCCTACCAGGAACATCTTCTACACTCGAGTGTGTGACTGTTTCTGATTTGGCATTTTAACAACAGTTTAAAAATTAATTATCAAGATATCAAGGAATCAATAAAATCACTCTAGTATACCCCAGAGGGTTGACCTGAACATAGTACAGAAATAAAAAAATAAGAAACAATTATTTCTGAAGCCATACACATAATAGTACTAGAAAATAAGAAACAATTTATAGAGCTCTTTACAGGCACAAAATGATACAAAACCAATTATATTTCAAAGTTAGAAAGAATATTCACTATTAAAATTAAAATTATTTACTGAATTGATTATCTAAAATATTACTTACTGACTTTCCACAATTAACGAATAATATATTTAAATACTAGTTGGCCAATGTGAATAATTAAGTAGTATATTTATCGCATAGTATAGATCAGTGAACAAATGGCAATTTAATATGCAACTAAGTAAATTTGATGAGTTTACACAGAAACAGAGTGATACAAAACAAACAATATTTTGGGCCTGTAAGTACATAGGCAACTGAAATACAGTTAAAGTAATACATTAAGTAAAAGCAAATAAATAAATTAAAAGTAAAAGCAGCACCACCAAATCATTCTTAAATGAATGGACAAAAACAAAGTGAAGTGAAGAGAAGGAAAGTTTACCACAATCACTTTCATCTAATTAAAGATACCTAGTCCATTGTAGCCTCCAAAAAGTATTTATGTTGATGGAATCTTCTAGGTTAGAAATTCTATACACCAAGCTGGGAATGGGCGATAGTCGATAGTACTATAGATATGGCGATAGTTTAAAACTATCGAAAGTTTGTATCATCCCCTTTGACACAAATTATTTTGAAATTGTATAACTTAAAGAAATAATTTTAATAACACGCCTTCAAACTTCTACCAATTCACTGATGTACGAGATTATTATTGATGTAAGAGATTATGATTAGCCATTATTGTGATAATATCATAATCTATAAATTGTAAAAGTTTGATAATGGAAATGCCACATAAGGAAAATAAATGGATGGAAATGTGAAAGCATGTTTAAAGCTATTCTTTTCAATATATAAAACTGAAAAAAAAAACTGAACAAGAAGCCTTAATAAGAATAAATTTAATCTCAAATTACTTTCTTAGAAATATTATTACACCTCCAGCTATGTCGATGAAAAAAAAAAGTTAACATTTACCTTGCCTTTTTATTTATTTTTTCATAAAAAAATATATATTTATAAAATCTAGAAGGATGTCATTACAGTTTCATTATATTTTAGACTAAGTGCTATAATCAAAATAAATTTAGAAAATTAGAATCTTGGAAATTAAAAGACATAAGCACTTCTCGTCTCCTTTTTTTACTAAATAGTTAAAAAATACTATCTAAATGCCGTCGATGTTTCTTGTTTGAATTATATGATCAGGGAAATAAATGCTATATATTTTTCTATATAAATGTATTTTCTTGTCAATAATTTTTTTTATTATTTTTTTAAAAACTTTATTAGTGCCTTAACATAAATCTTTAAGGATATATCCAATATAAATGTTATTTATTATAAAGTTTACGCAGCATTTTAAAGTAAATAACTAAAGAATACAAGCGAAAATAAATCTTCTTTAAGTATGTGTCAGGAAGTTAGTGGCAAACTATTGACTTGAACTAACAATAGTGGCAAACTATTGACTATCGCCCATCCCTACACCAAGCTAACTCATCACTACCTGTCTTTATGGTAACATCGAAAAATGTGCCAAACCCATGGGAACACATCTCTGAAGTAGAACATCTATTCTAATGTTGAAAATATCATAACGAAAGAGACAACCTTAAAATTAAAAACTCAATTCTATACGAAAAGATCTGAGAAGTTGAAGTTGATGAAAAGCTCAAGCTAACAAAATTAATTCATATAATTAAAACCAGCCACTACTAATATACTGATAAAACATTGTATCTACTGTTCTTAAATTATTTGGTCAAAAATAACTTGAAACAGCAACCAAAGGAAAACAATAAAAATAGGTGGTCCATTCAATTAATTTATATCTATTTCACAATTTTAAAGGGTATTACAAAATATATAGGATAAATACAAAAACCATTTAATTGAAAAATAATAAATATCACTTAATATGTGATATATTATCTTTATTAGGAAATATTACAATCTATTGATGAGTAATGAGCAACAAAAAAGAATAAGAACTAAGTAACAAATAAAAAGTACAATATGAGTATTTATAACACTGGGGTTTATTAATGGTAATACTTTGGTAATAAAGACAAAGAGCTTCAAGTAAAGGTACAGCCATACAAGTGACAAATATTGCCAAAGTGTTCAATAATTGTATATTGTCGAGTAGTGTGGTACTACACAATACTAATTATTGAACACCTTGGCAAATGATCAGCACGAGTTTGGCCGTACCTTAGTATTGGCCGAGTAATATGGCCGTTAATAGGAAAATACTTATATAAAAATAGAACATAAATATATAATTGTATATAATTTACATTTATATAATTACAAAACACAGGAAAGAACAATACAACAATAATAGCTAAATGTGAGAAAAACAATTATGTTTTGAGGTAGAAATTGAAAGTAGATAAGTGCAATACAATACTCAGTAAAAATTAATAATAGGTCAAAAATGATTCTGACTGATAAATTATCAGTGTCAATTTAAAGAAATGGAAGCTTGTGATGTATCAAGATTAAAATAACTAGGATTACATTATGATAAAATTTGTTTATATAATGGTTAAATAAAATAATTAAGCATGCTAAAATTACATAAAACCAATAAATTAATAATTTAATTGACTGAACACTAATAAAATTGTATTCCGTAAGTTATTCAAATATAATGAACCTAGATAAATAATATGATTAAAAAATTATTCCCTATACTTTTTTGACTCGACTTAAAACAAAGCAGTATTCATGCATAATAATTCTGATTAATAAGTGAACTGAAATAAACCGATTAAACTTTAATTTACCACAACAAATTATTCCAAAATCCAAATAAATATTGTAGAATGAAACTAATGTGTATTAATAATTATAAAACATTTAAATAAATAATAGAAGTTCTAAAATAAGCTAGGAGCCACTTTGACATTCTGCATACACTTAAATGAAACAATTCCACTTGTTTTTGGTCACGGATCAAATTATAATTTTTAACTATAGTAATTAGGCAATTAATTTCAACAACACTATTATATTCAGTAGTCTACCTAAGTGCAATGATCTAGTACAGAAAAATATTTAAATTATGTGATTTGAGAAGCCTTATTTAATTACAATCAAGGTCTCACATTAATGAATCACAATATAGGTTTTAAGTAATTACAACAAAATTTCATATAAGTTTATCTGAACTCAACACATCACATTTATAGATAAATACTCACTAATATATAGAATAATTCAATGTTTATCCCACTTAATAAATCTAAAATTAAAATCTTTCGTGTAACGAAAACAAAAAGTGGCTCAACTTATATTTGATGATTTGAGTTCATAAAACCTACTACATTCACTACCAGTTGTTTGGAAATAAAACTTAAAACATCATTTCATTGAGTTGGATTGCCAAAAATATTGAGGGACCAAGCCCTCAAAAATTAATACAATAATCGAATATTACTCTAATATTAACACAATAAAAGGTTTTAATATTAACACAATTGATCATTGAAACACCTTTTTTTTCAAATAGTATACTTTAAACACCTTTTTTTTCAAATAGACAAAAATTTTATTCCGTAAACTGTAAAAAAATGTTTAATAGTGTTATATCTTGTTGCTCAATATTAGATAATGGATAACTTTCAAATCTAACTTGAATAAAATTCTCTTCCAGAATCATTAAAGCTTTTTAAAATATGTTGACAGTAAAACAGGAGCAATGAAAATAAAATATCAAATCTTGGGCTTAATTATTTCTATCAAATGTAATTCAATAATGATTCCTTCATTTTATAAAATATTTCCACATCTTGATAAGTTGCGATCACTAAATAAGGTCATAAGCACCTATAAATTCATTCCAAAAGTTTTCCCCAATATATAAAAATCAGGAATTAAAATTATACTGATAATCTATTGATATAAATATTAGAACATGAGACATACTAAAATCAGGTTTTTAATTTTTTTTTTCAGGAAGAATGGTTACCAGATAATTTTAAAACATTCATCACTTATCTTTGGCTTTATTTTTTAAAAACTAAATTTCACATCACAGAATTTCAAAACTAAAAATTAAATAATATTTGCTGATTCAGCAGGTGTACATTACTTTCAAGAAATGTTAATAATACAGATTTTTTAATTAATTTTAATTAATATGTAACATTTTTTAACATCTATGATAATCTTCATTATTTTATGCATTCAAGCGTTTATTTAACATAATGAAACTTACTTACGTATCATCAATTTATTGTGAAAAATCAGTAAGTAAAATTTTATTAAATTAAGTATTAAATTACTTGGAGATTTAATTTAATAAAATGTTACTTAATGATTGTTCCAAAGTCAAATCACACCATGCACTTAGTGAAGCTATAATAGAATTTGTATTATTCTGATGGATTTGATGAGTTTTGCATTGATAAATTTGAAACTTTATGATATGATGATAAATGAGTTTAAAACTTTAATAGTTTATTTAAATTTAAAACTAATTTGAAAGTTGAAAATTTCAACTTGAATTGAACTTGAATCAACCAAAAATATATTTGCTGACTTTTGCAATAAACTGATGATATAATGTCTCTCATCATCTACAAAATTGACAGCCAATGATTCAACATCAAATGAAAGATGATTTCTACATTTTAATAGTAGCAGTATATTTTCATTGAATTTTGAAACCTTTTAAAATATTTTTGCAGGGAAGATATATTGTAATAATATAACTGTGACAAAATAATAAAAATTATTAAAACCAAAGTCTTTCATAAAAAATGGTCAGAGAAAATATATGTTTTTAGAAAAGTAAAACGGAAATAACATAACAAATTTCATAGAAGTTCCAGATCAATTGAGATAAGTAGATTTTTGTATTCCTTAAAACAATAACACAAAAACTGCTTAGAATTAAAATTTAAAACTTTTGCCATAAATAACTTTCCAGAACAAAAAATATAATTAAAGATGTGTTCAAACCAACACAATTTCCCGTAATTCTCTTAAAATAATTTCCTATAACCTAAAGTAGAATAAATTCACAGCTGTCCTTAGTGTTAACACACCGATGCTTTACTTTGACAGTGACAAAACTCAGAAGTGTTTGTTTATTATATTTTTTATTGTACCAACTTTAGTATGATAGTATAATTTCATCATAGAGAGCTGTACATTCCCATTTTTTCTAATTAGACACTAAGAGCAATGGTGAAAATATTTCATAGCCAATGGTATACCATTGGTATAATAATAGCTTATAAGCTTATTTGCTTCATGGTGATGAACAACCTTTTTTTAAATTGTATCACAATCAAACCAAAGCAGCGACATTTAAACATACTAAATAAAAATTATAATTAATTAGACTGACAAAATAATTTAAAGCTATATAATTATAATATGTACTGGTACACTAAAAAAAAAGAAATAAAAATAAAAAGTTTTGAGAGAGACTTGACTTCCATCTTCTACTACAACAATTGAGCAATCTTATTACAGTTTTAATTCACACCTAAAATAGAAATGTTATAATCAATTTTATTTATCAATAACTGAATAAAATATTTGATCTTGAAACTAGCCCCATAATATTTTGTTTAAACAATGTGTTCAGCGGGTATTGAATACTGAACTTTTTTAAATATTTGACAACAAAAATGAGGGCAAAAGTAAAATAGCTAAATTATAAGTTTAATAGTCATGATACAGTCAGTTTTATATTATAATATGATTTTAGGAAAATGAAGACTTATATCCTCCTTTCCAAACTAAAACTGAAATATACTTCTTCAGTATCTTTCTAGGAAAACAACAATGTAACAGGGGTACAACAGTTGACCTAATTGACCTTTTTTGAGCCCAAGGATTTTTCATTATTGTTATGAGTCTTCTTATTCTTAATATCTGATTATTATAAAAAACTATAACATTATCAATTAAAATTTAAAAAAATATTTAGACAGCTCTATACAACAAAGAAAATAAGGTACTTGCATAGAGAAAAAAAATTCTTAAATTTGAGCTGCAATAGAATTGAAATAATAAACGATGTATGTAATATTGACTGTATTTTTTCAATATTAAAAAAAAAAAATAATTTTTAGCCGAAAACTTGAAATATTAGTGCATACCGGAATTGTGGTGGAACTGAAGGTGTGGCTTCAGTGTACTGTATCACGATGTACAAGGCTACCAAAGGGTCTCTCAGATCTAATTTATAAATACCCACTAATAAAAGCTAATAAAATAAGTTTTAAACTAAATACTTATAAGCAGAGATGAGAGGGAGAGAAAAACCAGAAAGATATATCTTCAATAGAAGTTTTAAAGCTAGAAATTCTAGCATAAGCAACTAAGTTTAAGATGGCACAAATAGGTACTATAGGTAGACTACAACAGTATACTATAGTAGACTATAGTATAGTATAGTATAGTAGTACAGTATAGTATAGTAGTAGACTACAGAAATAGGTAGACTACAACAATAATAATTACACTAACAATGGCTTTTCCCCAAATATCTGTACTACAAGGTTTTTGTATATGGATGGAAAGCTGCAGGGACACAGCCCACTTCACTCTCACAAGAGGAGCAGCTAATGGAAGACCACCGAATTGAGAAAGACTAGTTTGACTCAAGATAAATGAATCATGAATAATAGATAAATAAGCTTTATTTACATTAGAGAGATGTTATCCAGACATGTATAACATCATGCAACGGCAAAAATCCATATTTCCTAAAAGGCATGATAGGGTTTCAATTACTAATAAAAAGTATAAAATAGGAAAATTTCAATGATAACCAACTTCAAGATTAGCTGCAAAACCTAGAGGTGGTTAGAAGATTCGCCAACCCATCAAAATATTAGGAGATGAAAATAAAATTGGGGCGAAAAAGACTAATGAGTTAAAAACCTATTGCACGATAATTTAGTCGCAGCTAGGAGGGTCATGAGTCATGGATGGAATTTTGTGTCAAGGATGACAACCTTAATCGTATAAGTTCCTCTTTTTTTTTTTTACATTGTTTACTACTTGAAATAAAATAATTTAACAAGCAGTAGTAAAATTCTTTTAATGTTATTTCTTTAGGGGCAGAGGCATGTATAATAAAATTAATTGATTAATAAACAATTATACCTACCATCGAAACCACTTTAGTCCCTAAGACTATTCACAAAATTACTAACGTCATATTCCTCATCATAGTCAGCCTGATCCCAAAGGTCAGGAAGAGCATCGAGAACAGACTTTAGCTGACCACCACTTCCCGCACTGGATGGTCCACTCGAATTACCAGCAATTCCTTGCTTTTCTAAAGAAAACAGATCCAGGAGCTGAAAAAAAATAAAGTAAAAATTAAAATTATCTACTTTTTAGTCTCTAAGCTGTGTAAATAAAGTTTTAAAAAATCACACTTTTAATGTAATATATTTATTTAATGTAAATTAAAACATTCATTTATAAAACAAAATGAAAATTTATAGTAAAAATATAAAAAATTATATCTTAGTGAAGAAATTTCATCTTTACATATAAAAAATAAAAAGAGCAGGCAGATTGATTTAGTATTTGTGGAATACCTGTGAATAATATTTAATTTGATTTTTAAGTATAAATTTATAATATTTTACACTAAAAAATTAAGTTAATTGAATTTTCATACACAATTTAAATTACTTTCCTCTTAAAATTTAACAAAAAATAAAAGTTTAGTTACATATGATTCAAGATCTGTTTTTTAAATCATAATATTTTTTACAACATAATTCTTGTTAAATTTAAATCCCCAGATCTAGGCCCTAATTATGAAGAACAACGCAAATAATGCCTAATACTATAAGGATTAGTTGCTGACCAATATTCCATAGCTGTAATGTAATGTAAAAAAACAACTTATTATCTTCACTGTACTATCTATCAGGCTGGATTGGGAGAAAATCATATTGGGAATTTAAAGGAAGTCTACCACAATTACTGGATTTACTTAAAAAAAATAAAAGAAAATTTTTTAATTGAGTTGAATATACTATGAGATAGCAGTAAAAAGGTGTTCACAGGTACCCCCGGCTCTTGCAAAGTTCTTGGCTCAGGACTACTTAATCAGTCTAGAAACCACTGGAGGGCATTTCCAAGTTACTGGAATATTAGGAGAACAACCAGACTCAAACATTACCAAAATATAGTCCTCCCTTAATATATAAATCAGATGAACTTAGATAATGTAACATGTCATTTGATAATTGAGGTGGTAATTTCAAAGTTCTAAAATTTATACCTAAAAAATAAGCAAAGAAATTGTCAATAACCAAAAATCTTACCTTATCTGTTCCCATTGTTTCAAGACTAGCATTGTCAGCACTGATTACAGTATTGGCAGTCATTAATTTGAACTTTTGCAACCTAAAAAGTAACGAATATTAAAAACATACATATGCATTTTTTTTTGTGTGGATGTCCTTTAAAAGAAACATTTATAAACAAAGTAGAAAGTTAATAAGAATTTTCTAAACGATCATTTCATTTCTTCATCATAATATTGTATATGTCTTTTATAGGTATTTAATTGATCAAGGTGGAAAAGCATTATATTTAGAAAACAAAATAAATCTATGCTGAACATTTTTAATATTAATTTAACTCTAATTAAAATACATAACATAAATAATTGCCTGCCTCCGAGATACTTGTAGTGTTAGGAACCATACTTTTCTAGTAAATAATGTTATTTAATCAATTATTGTACTGCCAATAAATTGTTCAAACCACATACGTATGCATTTATTAATGATTATAATATAGTAAATGAAATATTTCCATGAAAACTTACCCCATTATCTTTTCTTCTAATGTTGCTCTAGTAATGAGCCTGTACACATTTACAACTTTCTTCTGTCCAATTCTGTGAGCTCGATCCATTGCTTGCAGATCTTTCATTGGTGACCAGTCATGCTCAACAAATATCACCTAAACCATAATGTAAAATAATCTCACAAAAGTAGACAACAATCATCAAGTAAAACAATCAAATAAAAATATGATCTAACCGATTTTGATAAATTTCAATAGAGATTTTAACTGTTGTACGACACAAAACTATAATAGTAAGTCATCATCAATTCATTGAACACAAAATTTCAAGTTTGTTCAAATTCAATTTTTTTTTTTTTAGAAATCCAATTAACACCAATTTCACATGTATCATGAATAATTATTACAAATTTAATGAACAAATAAATTTTGAAAAATGAAAAATAAATCTAATGTTTATCAATTCTATACTAACAGTGTCAGCTCCTGTCAGATTTAGACCAAGTCCTCCAACTTGCGTTGTTAATATCAGTACATCTATGGTTGGATCATTATTGAATCTGGTAACTACAGAATGCCGAAGACTGGCAGGAACACTTCCATCTAATCTCAAATAGCTAACTGTTGGCATATGACACCTGAAAAATCAATTAGTTCAACAAATGCTTCAAGATAAAAAAAAAAACTAATGTCTAATGCACTGCTAACCTGAAAATATGATTAGCATCTTAAATGGATAGTTACTATAAATTATTACAAATACAGTAGGCCCGTGAGAAAAATTTGCACAGTATATTGTTCAGTGATCAAATGACAAATTAATAAGAAAATAAAATAAAGCAATGTATCATAAGATAGAGAAATCAATTGTTACTTTCTCTCTAAATATAATCGACAAAGGAGCCTAAATGTAATAATATATGTGTGAATAAATATAATAAGATCATAAAAATTAAGAGGAAGGTTGGCAATAGAGAGGAATAACATGTAGTGAACAGGATCTACCCTTAATAAGAAATATTCTATAACTAAATTTGAAATAAACTTGTCTCTTTGATATAATTAGGGTGAGTGCAAACATCATGAACTATGCTAGGGTTATTGCCTACTACTACCCACAACGACTGATGGTATAAATGGTTACTTTATATATGGTATATATATATATGGCTATTGCTTCGTTCCTATGGTAGAAAGATATTTTAAAGCCAAACGTTTTCTTCAATAAAGCAAAAATATATTGCAAAAGGATTTACAGATTTAAAAGATAATTTTGAATTTAGTCCATTCAAACAAACACTTCAGCTTTACATGTAGGTATAGATAGATATACAGAGTGTTTCAGGATTAAGCAAAAATCAACTAAGGACCTCAAAACAAGAAAATAATTTCCTCTGAAGATATGTCCAAAACCCTTTGTTTAGGAGATATTTACATCTAAAGATTTTTGTTGTTATGAATTATTTACGTTATACAAAATAAATAAAACCTATTTCTTTGTTCTTACAACTTTATTAATTAAATTTAAACATTAGCATTCAAATTAAATGTTGTTCAAAATGATTTCCTTGAGCATTAAGACAAGCTCGGCATCTTTCTTCAACAGCAGCAGTGGCAGAACTGCACTGGTTATGTGTTATTGTTTCACAAGATTCAATTATCCCTCGAGAGGAACTAAGATCATTACCAGACTTCCATAGACTTTTCGTTTAATGTCACACCAAATAAAAAAATCCAGTGGTGTCAGGTCTGGAGAGTGTGCAGGCCAAGCCACTGGTCCTGCACAGCCAATCCATTGATTGGGATATGGGATATGATTGAGCAAGTCCAGTCAATGACCTTAATTCCTTACGAAGAAGGGTAACTGAATCTTGTGAAACAATAACACATATCCAGTGCCGTTTTGCCACTGCTGCTGTTGAAGAAAGATGGCGAGCCTGTCTTAATGCTCAAGGACACCACTTGGAACAACACTTAATATGAATGTTAATGTTTACATTTAATTAATAAAGTAGTAAGAATAAATAAATAGGTTTCATTTATTTCATATAATGTAAATAACTCATAACAGCGAAAATCTTTAGGTGTGAATATCTCCTAAACGAAGAGTTTGTGGACATACCTTCAGAGGAAATTATTTTCTTGTTTTGAGGCCCTTAGTTCATTTTTGCAGTTTGGCCAATTAACCCTGAAACATTTTGTAGATCATTAACAAACTTTTTCTAAAAATTATGATGGAAGTTAATTCTCCTTTCAAAAAAATACCCACTGAATCAGTGTATATTTGATGGTCCCAGTTATTGTTAGGATAGCTTCCTTTAATAGGTTAATTACCCATATGGGAGAATCACTAATTCAGAGTAAACAATTACAAAGGATTCATACATGGATTGATATATAAAAAATAACCCAGTAAGGAAAAGGAAAACAGAATCTGAAATTGTGATTTTAAATCACAATTGCCAAGGAAATAAAATTTGTTGAAGAGATAGAGAGCATTATCAAAGATATTCTAGGAGTTAGTGAAAACGAAAGGAATTAGAGAATCATAGACCGATAAGAATCACACCATAATATATTCTGGTTCACACTTGCGATTGGAGCTGAAGAAGAAATAAGATTCATCTTGAAGGACAAAAAAGTTAAAGATTGAATCTTGAATATTATATTGATTGAAATTGAATATTACATATATATTTCAGGAATGTGGCAGCACTTTTACAAAACATCTTTTCTCTTCTTACTCATTAGTTTGGACCCAGAAGGCAATGTAGAATCATACAAGGATATTATAGAGAAAGATGAACACTGAAAAAACTTCAAGATGGGACAGTAAGTGCCCACAGCTGGTAACATATGAAATTGAAAAAAACCCTAAAGAATCCAAAAAGCATATGAAGAAAAAAGAATACCAAAATGTAGGAATACAATATTATACAAAAACAGAAGAAAGGCGACAAAGTTATTATTCAAATTAAAGACTCATCTATTGCCGATTCAATTTTGACTTGGAAAGGTTGAGATTAATTTTGGGAGTTCGCTCAATGAAGTAACAGATAGAAGAAACCAAAAAAAGATACATATAGTATGCAATACTAAGGGATAAGAATTATACTCAGATTACACGAAACATGGAACCCCAATCGACAGAACTAGATAAGTAGACAATAAATTTTCTCATAGAATAGAAAAAGAAAATTTTGTCTATTACCAACACATACCTTGTGACCCTTCTGTCCTGAAGAAGTCTCTTAAGTTGGATCACAGCCACAGAAATAAAATTACTCAGAAGAATTATTAAAAAACAAAAAGGTATAGCATTACGAATGATGGAATCCTCTCTAGGAACTGAAGGTGGGCTCGGAAAGAAAATTATTGAAATGAGATGAGTTGAGATGGTTTAGACAGGTCTGCAGGAGGGTTAGAGAGAGAAAGAGAGGTCTACAAAAACTATAGAACATCACCAAACAGTAAATAGGCCTTTCCTTCAATGGCCTAATTGAAAAGTTAGCAAGAGGAGTCAAATACTAAAAAAATTAAAAAATCTTGTCAAAATTAGATATGTCCATTAATTCTGAAATCTGGACTGGATAAGCCTCCTCGCTAAAAGGCATAAAAAAAGTAATATATCTAACAGAAAAAAAGTAGTGAGCAAATTTTGTATTTAAGATGTTAGATGGTGTTAATGCATATACTTTTAATAAATTAAAAAAAAAATAAACCAAATACCTACCTGAAAAAATCATTTTCTAGTATATCAAGCATAGCTTTCAACTGACAGAATATCAAAGCCCGATGCTGGTTGACTACAATATCCTCAGTTTGCTCTCCACTGGGTACACCAATTCCACAGTCAATCAACAATTGCCTTTAAAAAGTAGCAATATAATCTCAGTATAATTAAACAAACATATAAAAAGGTATAAACAAATATTTAATAACATTTTTTCTTACTTCAATGCAGGAAATTTAGCAGCATGTTGGATATCAGACAAAGATGAGTTCTGTTCTTTCAATTGTTTTATGATGTTTTCATATTGGGGATGTTTAGAATTCAATGCAAGTTTAGGATGATTGCATACACTCTGTAAATATCTGAGAGCCTAGAAAATAAATAATTCAGTGAATTAAAACAATACATTGAAATTATATACATCAACACTCTGAAGATATGTACTTCAATACTCTGAAGTTACATACTTCAATATTCTAAAGTTACATACTTCAATATTCTAAAGTTACATACTTCAATATTCTAAAGTTACATACTTCAATACTCTGAAGCTACGCACTTCAATACTTTGAAGTTACGTAGTTAACTTTTAAGTTAAGTATTATAACTATTAGTTTGATTAGTGACTCACAATAGGTTACGGATCTGTGGTTACCGATTTCAATGAAAAAAATTTTTTTTGGTGATGTTTATTATTAAAACACTTTATTCAGAAATATTACAATTTGTCACAGTTTAAGGACACTTATAATAGAGTTCAGAGATTGCATTCATACCGTATATACAAAAATATAAATAAATAAAGTAATAACAAAAGAATAAGAAGAAAGAACAAAAGAGTAAAGAAAAAAAATATATATATATATACACATAAGTAAATAAAAATAGAAATAAAAGTAAAACAAACACCTTATATAAAACATACATTATTTACAATTTGCCAGGTGATCTCCGAACCAATCCTGTCCCCTCCACATGTGGAGGGAAAAGGGAGGTTGGTGATGTTAGGTCGAAAAATATTAGACTCATGTCTGAGGGTTCTTGCTAATCTGCCATAGGAGCCAAGAAAAAAGTATTTTATAAAATTTTATTTTACTGTTTTCTGACTACTCTGTATGAATTTCTAAGTTATTATATATTAATCGACTTGTGTTTTTGTGCAAAATAAGAACAATATATTACAAATTGTATTACATATTGTACGAATTCTAATGTATAATAAATTACAAAAACTCAAAGACACTGCCAATAAAGTAGGCCAAGTAAATTCTGTCATGAAAAAACGATTCAGATTTGTTTTAATTGTCTACTTTAACTCTTAAATACGAGTTTGTTTTGAAATAAAAAAATATAAATTTTTGGACTTCTCATGTCGTTCACTAAAATATTTATAACTCAATTTTAAAATATATCAATAACTGATATGGCTGATACCGATGTTCTAAAGACCGGTGTATCAGACTTTCAGCCTTATTCAATCGAGGATCTTATTGTTCTACCTAGAATATTCTCCTGAATGCTGAAGAAACTGACCTAAATAGAACTTAGAGCTGATACTGATATTCGAAAAAGTTGAAATTTTCTCCTTATTGCTGAATATATATAAATAAATTTGCATACCAAGTAGATATGTTTTGGTTCACCTAATATCTAATAAAGATTCTTAAAACTAAGAGAAATCATGGTAGGCATCTTCATCATGGAAATCAAAATATATATTTATTAATAGAATTCCATTAAGAATAACAGGGCCAGCCAAATAGTATAACAGTGACAGTACTCCTCAGGAAAAGAAAAATAGAACCCTGATAATAATAATAATAATAAAAGCCTTAGCGAATCAGAAGGTTTGATGCGACTACCACCAATTCACTCATTACCAAACACATCCCCTCCACTGTTCGCCGTCATAACACGTCCTTCAGATCGCTTTAATGCAATCTTCCCACCTTCGCTTCGGGTCTACCTCGGATGCTACCATTCGGCACCGAACAATATTAATCTTTTAGGAATTCTCTCATTACTAAGCCAACAACTTTACAAGCCATTTGATTCGCCGCAATGATTTACCTCAATTATATTAACCGGATACTAGCTCACGCAATCGGCTTGTGTTACTGTATGTGCTCTCCGGTAACTCATCCTTCTTTTCGGGCCGAATTATTCTAGGCAAATCATTTTATTTTCATAAAACCTTAAGACGTGCTCTTCTCATTAATGTAAGCGGCCCAAGTTTCGCATCCATAAAGAACTGTAGGCAAGATTAATTGTTTTATAGATTCTAATTTTTAAGTTCCGGGACAAGAGGCGCTCGCGAACTAAGTAGTTTTGCACAGAAAAATAAAAAGCAGTTCCCGCCTTCTGTCATAACCTTAGATCTCTTCTTTAAATTTCGTTTTTTTAGTTATAGTAGAACCTAGATACCTAATTTCTCAACCTTTTCAAACATATACCAGTATAATCGATATCCTGGTAGGTACGCCATTTTTGCAGCTTAACCTTATATTTTGTTTATCCACGTTTATTTCGAGTCTAGTTCTTTACCGGCTATCATTAACGTTGTCGTATTTAGTTTTGTAATTTCAAGTCCTTCGCTTAACACTACAGATCATCAGCATTAGGCCCAGCACGATGTTGTCCTGACAGAATCCGACCTTTCTCGGTACGCATTACCTCCATAGATGGCAGTTCTCAAAGCCAAATTGAACAGGGACAGGCGTAAGAGATATCCTGTTTTAAACCCGAACGAACCTCAAATTTTTGAGGTTCGAGAACTTCTTGAGGTTTGAGAACCCTGATAGATTATGAAAATAATGGAGGTGATATGAATTCTCAAATCATAATCTGGGTACCACAGTGGATTTGTAGGGAGCCAATGGGTAGAACATCAATCCTCACAAGGTAGAGGTCTTGATGGTGGAGTGTGTTGAGGCACTATGTATGGTACCAGTGGTGCTGAGGCACTACACAGTGGTGTCAGTTCAAATCCTGTCTGGGCGAGTTTATTTTGTGTCTGACCTTCACCTCGACCTTCTCGCATGTGTTATAATAGATTAGGTTGTACCTCTAGAACTCCCCTCCCTCCCCCCTCTCTTTCACTTCCCCACAAATATCAAAAGTGTTAAATAGTAATCAACAATGTGAATAATTACAAAAGGTTTTTAATGTGAAAACATAATTTATTTGAATATTACCTGGAATATATGAGAGGTATTAGGCGGTTGATTTGAATTCACAGACTCCGATAAGGTTTGATGGGCTCTCGATTTAGCAAAATCTTCATACAGCTGCTTTTGAAGAGGACTAAGTTCACAATAGTAATCCTTTAAAAATTTCATATTAATAAAATTAAAATTTGTTGGATTATTACGATTTAACACATGAAAGATTATAAATAATATTTATAAAAAAATATAAGAATCAATATGCAAAAATTGTCTTCCTAAAGAACATGAAGCTCCAATCATCCCAACAGGAAAATATAATAATAATTTGTTTTTTACCACTAAGATTTTTTCTGATACTTTAAAATTATGATTCATAAGAAATATTTGACAATGAAAAGAACAAATTTTCTCCTTGGTAAACCACGAACTCAACTGAGAAGGTGGTTCTCTTGAAGTCCGACAGCCAGTATATAATTAAAGCAGTTATACTTTTAATACCCACTATTTTTCTCAAATAGCCTTTCATACTTAGTAAGCAGCCAATAATATGCTTAATGATAACACATGCACACTTCAATCTTTCTTATCAGTTTGCTTATTAATATGATTTATCTATTAGTAAGTTTTTTGATATTTTTTCTGAAATTTTGTTTTTATTTAATTTTTTTTTTACATTTACATATACCAGGAAGATAGAGTTGTAAGGGCTTTCTTGTACTAAGATTTGTCTATAGAGATTATAATTACAGTTAAGTTTTATTTTTTTGCCATTTAATTTCCATTAATATACTTTTATAAATATTGACTGCACTCAATAATTTCAGAATTCATTCTACAATGTGATTAATGAGATATAGTACCCGTTTAAACGGTCACTTTTGTCCAAAAGTACTATAACTTTTCTTTAAGTAAGATTGAAAGTGGAAACAAGGTCAAATTGACTCATAAACAGAGTAAGATTGGAAGATTTTATAATACCTGCGTTATTTTAGGAGGTAAGTCCTTAAGAACATCTTCCTTCATCCTCCTGAGTACAAAAGGAAGAACTTGCCTATGTAGTGCTTCCATAGCCAAAACTCCTATAAAAATCATATTTCTAATGATTAGAGAAATTAATATTAGAGAAATTATATTAATATAAGAACACAAACAAACAAATACCTGCTTCTTGTTCTTTTGCAGAGCTTTTTGGATCTCTACTCATGAGGATGGGCCTACTATAACGAGCAGTAAATTGCTTCTCAGTTCCAAGAAAACCAGGCATGAGAAAGTCAAAAAGAGACCACAGTTCTAATACATTATTCTGTATAGGTGTTCCTGACAATATCAAGCGATGGTTTGCTATAAGTTGTTTAATAGCTTTTGATGACTGAAAATTAAGTTATTATCAGGAATGATGGTTAAAATATGTTTTTTTATGATTAATTTTCTAAAACTAAAAACATATAGATAGGACTACTATGCATAGGCAATAAACTTAAAGGAAAATCTTGTGAGGAAAGCTCAGAACCAGTAGGTGATACTCAATAGGCCTGAGTTACCTTTATAACTTACTTCCATTTGTGACCCATAGAATCCTAGTTATTTTAAATATAATACTCTCACGCATTGGCTTCTGTTAAACAGTAGCGTCTCTGGAGATATTGAGAAACATCTCTACAAAGAGTTGAAGTGGCTTTATCCTCCTTACCACCACAAATATTTCATGATATCCTTTCTCCACAAAAGTTATTTAATCTGGTGATCCATCATACATCATAGATCTCTTTTAATCCTAAGTTTCTTCCCACAAAACCCATTCTTTCTCTTCATATTTATATACAACATCCCAACAAACCGTAGCTTTCGAAAAAAATTTTCTCATCTAACCCTCAACATTTTGAAATTCCGTTCTTTTCTTTACCTGTTTCTCATATAACTTTCCCATTTTCAAATCTCACACATTTAACCATTCCCTATCCATCCAATTTCACATAATGAACAACTCAGTCCGTAAGATTTATACAAATCTGTATACTTTATTGGTGTTTTTATTAAATTAAAGTTATTAAAATTATTTTTTAAATTTATTATAAGAGGATTATGTCTGCAATACACATTAGAGAGCTAATTTTCAAATAGCCCAATTTGAAATATTTTTTTTTACAGTTAGAATTTTTTACTTTCTTTGAATCACATACACTGATTTGTAAATTGATTTTTATTTATAAATTTAATAAAAAATTGCTTGTAATTATGAATTTGACATAACATTATAAATATTAGATTTTCAAGATTATACAATTTGTAAATATAAATTTATTATTTCAAGGAACATTAAAAAATATTGGACAGTTAAAATAAATTAACACAGGAACTGTTTTTGAAAGGAACCCAATATAAATAAGATGATAATGTTTTCTTGAAATTTGAATGAATTTAAAATTATTCTAAACAATTCTAAGATATCATTTCAAGACTTCAAAATGGATGAAGTGGCCCCCAAAATGTTGTTGAACCAAAACTTAGATGTAAAAAGGAGATAAAAATGCAATAAAGAATGCAATAATTTTTAGAGTTCACCAACTAGTGGATAAAGCTAAAGGAAAAGGAAGGTCAGTAATCCTGAGTGGAGACTGCAATGCCAGAACAGGAAATGATGAAAGATCTGGATATGGAGTTCTAGGGCTGCATAGAGGTGAGAATGTGAGGAATAGTAATGGAAAGCGGCTAATAGACTTTTGTGTACATAATGACTTCCTCATAGGAAATTTTTTTTATCCACACAAGAGAATCCACAAAATCACTTTCTCATGTATGGAACGAAATTGTGTAATTTTATTTTATTTATTTATTTATTATTTATTTCAAATACAATAGGAACATAAGGCAGTATTTTGCTGATATAAAAGTAGTAAGAGGAGTGGAGATAAGCAGCGACCACCTTTTACTTGTGGCTGATACAAAAATCATTTCTAAGTAAAAAAGGAAAATAAAAGGATTTGAAACCATCAAAGTAAGGGCCTTGGATGACCCAGAGAAAAGGACTCTCTTTACAGAAAGCCAGGAAAATAAATTAAGAGAAATGCCATTCGATGGAGATGTGGAAGAGATATGGAAGGCACTTAAAACATGTATAGTGGAAACAGCAAATACAGTTTGTGGGAAGAAGAGTGTCTGGTAAGGGAAAACGGACAGACTGATGGACTAATGACCTCCAAAGACTGGTTTCTCAAAAGAAGCTTGCCTGGAAAGTATACCTTTAAGATAAAACTGAAGGAAAGCTACACGTTTATCGAATAGCCAGGAATGAATGTAAGCCTAAAACAAATCGTAGATCTAGTAAATGAAACAACTTCCTTCAATTTTCTATTTTGTTGTGGACGAGGATGTTTAAACAACATAAGTCTCTAAATCACACACAAAAAGTTTGCCATTCCTTAAGTTGTTTACATTACCTCAGCTTAGGGAAAAGAATTTGAAATATTGAAAGGTGAATTATTGAGAAAGCTTCGTTTTATTTTGATATACAACAGAAATACTAAGAAAATCTCTAATTAAATGTGAATACGGCAATATATGACTTGACCAATCATATAATTCAAAGAATCACGGACTTTGATAAGATAATATCTTCAGATTGAAAAAAGACATGAAGTAACAATTAAAAAAAATTAACTAAACAATGTTTCCAAAACTGTACATGTATATTGCTTTAAAGGGACAAATATCCCAGAATAAAATTTATTTTATTAATAAATTAAATCAAGTTAGTAGAGATTTGCAATCACAGAGAAAATATTTTTTGTTTAATTTTCTTTGTGACTGCATCCCGCAATTAACTTCCCAATCTTTACTTTCATCCATTTATTTAAGTAATTTACGAATTTTCCTTATTACGAGTAATTTACAAATTTTTGGCTTAAAAAAATGTGTGCATTTAGTGTAACTATTCTTAAAAAATAATAGAATTTGTGTTATTTTTATAAGTTTTATTACCAATAAATAAGATACAAACCTGTAAATACATATTTAAAAATTTAGCTTAATCAAAAACATATTCATTTAGACTTTTAGCAATAAGACTTGCTTAATTAGACTTAGACTTTTAGTCAAAGCTAATTAATTTAATTGCGAAATATTAATAGGAATATATACAAAATATTCATTTTTCTACAGAAGAACTTTAACTATCCCGGCAAAATAATTCTTTCAAAACATAAATAATTAATATACAATTTGAAGTTAAGATCACAAATATCAATATGTTTTTACAATAACAATAATAAAGTAGATGCATTTTAAATGTTACCTTTGTTTTTCCATTTTTAATAACATGACCTTCATCCAATATACAATAATTCCATTTAATGCTTGAAAAGAAGTCTATATCTTTTCTGACAATATCATAAGATGCGACAATCAAATTATGCTTTTTAACCTGCTTCCGAAGTCTGTAATAATAAAATAATATTTAACCAAAAAATATAAAATAGTATAGCAAAACATAGTTAATCAACATACCTTTCCCTCTCAGCTGGTGGACCAGCATACTGCAGTGCTGAGAGGTATTTACGAGATGTGAATTTCTCTACCTCAAAAACCCAGTGGCCAGTCAGTGTAGGAGGGCAAACCACAAGAGAAGGTAACGGTGCACTATCTGCTTTCCTTGTTTCCTGCAATTAAAATTATATGATTAAAAGAAATTAATAACAAAATCATTACTTCATTTAAAATTAGAGTAAACAGATATAATTAAATAAATAAAAAGTGAAAGAATGCCAATTATTGGCTTTTTATTGCTAGATTCTACTATTATTTCTATTACTATTTGTGAATAGTAAGGGAACAATCAGTGAACTCTAGTAGTAATTAAAATCACATAATTGTATTTGAGACAAATACAAAATGTCAAAAACAATCTAATAAATCAAAATTAAGAGAATATAAAGTTACCTTATACTTCTGTTTCCTATCATAATGGTCTCCAGCAAGGATACAAATTGACTGAAGAGTCTTTCCGAGTCCCATATCATCACAAAGTAAACCGTGGAGTTTATACTGATTAAGAAAAGCCAACCAGTTAACACCAGCCTACAATCCAATAATTTAAAATGATTAGAAAAATATTACTTAATGGGTTAAGCTTTAGGAAACAATAAATTACAAATCAGCTGAACTAACAACTCCATCCTTCTTAAGGAATGAATGAATGAATTAATCAATGAATTGTTAATCTCTTATATATTTATAAGACAATAAATCGACTATAGCTAAGCCTAAGTGAAATTATATGAGATTATGTAATAAAAAAAAATGAAATATCTGCTGAGAGATGAGAGAAGGAATCTCTAAAAATATTGCCTCATGTTGCAAACATAATTATTAGTTCCAATATTTATATTAATTTAATTTGACCTATATTGTTTATTATATTGTTTATAATCACTATCTTTCAGATTTTTTTAACATAACCAATGAATTAGGTTAAACAGGGTACCATTTTCAACCAGATAATTTTTAATATTTTAATATAAATATCAATATAGTAGGTCTCTAGGGGATTTCCTTTTTAAACTGTGTTATTCCAATTAATCCCTTAAAATATAAATATATTTTAAGGAAAAGATTCAAATTTTCTTTTTTTCAAAATTAATACTTTACAATACAAATCACAACTAACACTTTTGTATTCCTAAAAAATGATCAGCAGATATGACCTGTCCCCCACAGAGAACAAAGGGCCATCAGAAATAGAGTAGGCTCTATCTATTGAATTTTTTTTTTCAATCATTCAACCCTAAATAGATTTTCCTCTACCAAGAGTGAGTGAGAAAGTAATAACCTCTATTTAATTTTTCTCATTCCTATATTTTTAAACATTAACAGATATTAAGAACAAAATGCAACAGTTGATAAACTACTGTTCGGAAAAAAAAAACTAACAATAAAGAATTGGTTAAAAAAATATATCTATATTAAACCTGCTGATATGATCGCAATTCAGCTGAAATCGGAACTGGAACTTTGTAATCGGTTATGGAAGATGGGTTGAAGAGCTGTTCAACAAACTGGCGCTGCTCATTTTTTAAAACCATCAGCCTAGGAGAAAGCTTTGGTGGGTTTGGAATTCCACTTTCTAAAGGCATAACCTGAATCAAATCTGCGAATGTATGGGTTGCAAGGGTTCTAATGGTTTCATTTTGATCGCTCATTCGTCCTAGAATCAAAAATAAATTATTGATAAAAATATAAATGGAATAGTTAGTAAAAGATGAACAATAATAGTAAATTCATACCTAAAAGTGGTACGATGAGAAAATATACATATGGCACTACAGCTAATTGTAATTTTTCAATAATGACAGTAACCGCTTCAATAGAACCTCTTCTCTTAGTGTCATCATTAACAGCAGACAACATAGGTATAACATATTCAATCACTACATCCATCACTATATTAGGCTCTATACTTGCGAGTTGTGCTAGGCAGCGTGAAGCCATGTGTCGAATAGCAGAGAACGGATGGGAGAGTAAGCGAACCAAATGGTTTAAGCATTTTAAAATCTAAAAACATTATAGAAAATATATAACTGTCAATAAAATAATGGAGTATTCAAATAAAACTAAATGGGACTAAACTTACTTGGGGTAAGAGAGACTTATCTACTGAAGGGCAAGTTACTTCCAAGACCTGTAGAATCCCAATTAAATGCTCAATTTCAGTGGTTTTGTACTGAATATTGTTTGTCCCTGAAACATAAATCTTACTGTATTATTAAAATAATATAAGTTTTGGTTTTAAATATTACACCATTTCGCCATTTTCGGGTAATAATTTATAATGATGAATTACTTCACTATCATATTATCTCTCAATAATTCAAATTTATAAATAACATTTATAAAATTAATTCTTAGTTTGGCAGTATGCCCTGCAAAATACATGATTTTCTCAGATCTTTAGATAAAATTTGATGCCTATATTTTAATTCCCTTAACTTCCCTATTTCTCTTTAGGCATTCTAGGGGAAGAACCATCAGTTTCCATAAAACTATAAAAATAGATTATTTAGAATTTTAAAAAGCAATACTTACATTTTTTTATTTATCCTTTAATTATACTCTAGCTAAATTCAGAGTTAAAAGATTTAAAAAATGAATCCCCTCTCGCCATTACTTTTCATGAATTTGGTCTAAAATGCTAATTTAATTAAACCATATTATATTTGCAAAAGTTAGGTTGTAAAACTATGGCACCAAAAAAAACTGTGGATATCACATAATTGGCACCGTACGTAAGAATTCTAACTAAAAGTTATTTCGTAGATAGGACAGGCAACATGTAAAAGAAATAATAAAAAAATATTGAATACTCACAAATGGTATTTGGATTAATTTTTTCTAATAAATCACCAACAACTGCTTGCCAAAGTGTGGGAACTGCTACAGGTACATTCTGGCCAAAACGTTTGGTTATAGCTTCCAAGGCTAATGTAGCACCTCTTCTTTGAATTAAATTTATTTTCTGAGCCTAAAATAACAAGGTAATATTTAAAATTTAGGTAATATTTAATTACTTATTTATTTCTGTATCAAGTGAACACAAAATGTACTTAGAAATTTTCATATCTCCAAGAAAACATAAAACAAAATGACTTCTTACACCAATGTATGGTAACGATTTTTATTTATCTGATATTTAGTTTCAAAAATATACGTTGGAATTATAAATGTTGTGGAGGGGTGGACGCAATCCTCACTCTCTTCTCATCGCAGCAGAGTCCTTTTCCGGCTATTGGCCAGGATGCATTATCTGTCAGTTTCAGAATACTCGAGAGAGAACATGTCACAGTTTTCAAAGGAGCATAGACCTAGATGAAGACCATCCTCAAGTGAAGTAGCATTAGCAGATCAAGAATATAAGGCCATTATACATGAGATCAGAGCTAACAGAGAGACATTACCAAGATACAATAATAGTGGTAATTATATTTTATTTTATTTCACTTATAAAATTTATTCTTAGATTAAATAAAATATTTAATGAATCAATATCATTTATCCGACTCTTAATTATTATAATGCAACCCGCTTGGCCATCCTGCCCCTTAAAATTGTAACAGAATTTCAATCATCTATTCTGAAATGAAAATATTCTTGGAAATGAACAATAACAATAGTATCAATGAGTGTAATAATCCTATCCTAATGGATTCTACTTACAAATTCGTAAAGATTTAGAAACGTATAAAATATTATACAAGATAAAAAATTAGTGTTTCAATCTCCTATAAATATAATACAGTAATAATGATCCCTTTTTCAGCTTTCACAGAAAATGGATTTTGATAAACAAGGAGTCAGAAGAAAGGGAATTAAGGAACTTGGGGGGCAAATGGGTAGGGTAACAGGAGGGCTGGAGAGGGATGGTGCGGGAATCTCCCCCACTCCTTACGGAATGATCAAGCAATAGTGCCCTACCCACTGCTTGTGACTTCCCAGTTCTCCCTATGCCTATCAACGCCTACTGTCACCGTCTCGTGGAGCCCCTCCCCCCGGGGAGTCCGATGGGTCTCACAAACAACAGAGGTGGGGATCCAAACTTCTTTCCTCTAATTTAGAGAGGCTCGAGGCAACAGGTTACAGTAACTCCGTCTGCAAAGGCACCAATCAGTGAAGAGCCTGGGCCAGTCACGAAGCACATCAGATTCTCACCGGGAAATTCGAAAAGAGGGCCAGAAGCGGGGAGGCTGGGAGAGCATTTCCTATGCACTAGTGGCTGGGGGCAGTAGAGTGGCTTTTTGATATCCATCAGCTTTCAAAGGAGCAGAGCAAAGGAGTAAAAACCTAGGTGATCAAATCTGTTGATCGGTTGGAGTTCGGTGGCATCATCCCTGAATTTGGTGGCTGAAGCCTGAATTTGGGGAGATGTATCATTGCTTGCGATGATCAAGCCACCAAAGACTGGTACAGACACATAGCCACCAGAAACCTCCTCCGAAGTAAACAGAGTACTCTCTTGGCTGTAACAATTCTCAGAGATACTTCTTCATCTATAAAACAACATTTCTTAAGACAAGCAACCAAATATTATCATTATTCATCAAGGTTTCTTTCCTATCTTCATGCATTTGGTCTTTTCCGGGTTGATTCTCATTTTTATTATGGTTATTTTTAATGTTAATACGGAGAATTTAGAGGGTTCTAGAACTGGCTCATTCTTAGTTTAGCTTTCCTAAATGCCAGGTCTATGACTAATATGAATAGTAGTAGACTAAAACGACAACCATGGTTCGTGGTCCTAGCCACTGGGCGCTGATGTTTTGTGCCTAGACTGCGAAACAAACAAACCTAGCCACATTTCTGGTGTTATTATATAGACTTATCACAGCCAAAGTCGTAGATGTCTTTCTCTGACAGACAGTGCCTACTCTATGTTTTCCTTTCTATCTTTGCCGAAAGCATCTTGTAGGTCCATGAAACAAACAGAAAGCTCCTTATTCTTCTCAGCAATCTTTTTCGTTATTTGCCGAATAGTGAAGAGTGCTTCACTGTCCTTTGAAACTGTACTGTAATAATTTATGTAACTCCACATATGATGTGTATTGAATAGACTTTCTAGATGATATTAATTTCTCTTTTTTTGCAAGAATTGAAATGTATCCCTTATAGTGTTTTAATTTATTTCAAAATTTTCAGATAAGCTAAAAAATAATTTTAAAATACTTCGAAAAAAAAAATTGAAACAGACATTTAATTTGAACAACAATAAGATCAACAGTAATTAAATGCAACATTGAGTACAGAGATTAGTTTTTATAAAATATATATTTAACTTACATTATCTTCTTTAATAATATCTTCCAGCTGTACCTCCATTGCTGGTGGTCTTCCTGGGCCTCTTCCACTAGATGAAAGGCATCTCCTTAGGATAGCTCTTTCTGCATTCTTAGAAAATAAAACAATTATATTATAAATGAGATTTAAACATTTTATAAATTATGTTACTCATACGTTGATTGGAATAGTGATGTTGAAGTATTCAATAATTTCAAATAATTTGAGCCATCAAACTTAAAAATTAATCCAGCCATTCGCTCAAAAAATCATTACATAACTTTTAATAAATCGATTAAACACATTTTATTCAACCATGGGACAGTAATTTTAACTCCAATTGTTTCAAAACATTCAGGTAATCTCACCGAAAAACATGGGCCATCAAACTTAAAAATTGGTCGTCTTTCACTAAAAAAAATTGTTATATAGCTGTTAGCGGACAATCCAAACACATAACCCTTGAGCCACTTTTCGCTTGGTTGGATAACGATATATTATACGTATACCTTCTGCCTAGTATTTCCGGAGATTCATTTACAACCTGGATAGGTTTTTTTTTCGGGAATTTAGTCCATATACTAAAATTGAAAGGACAATTATTAGAACATTATAGGAAAGTTTCATCAAAATCATTAGAGCCATTTTCGCGCTACAGTCTATACAAAAACATGTTTTTCATTTATTGCGTGTAAGGTATTTACCATGGAGCACCGAATTTATGTCACAGGCCAATTAGCAACATTTTTACAAAAGAATAGGCAGTGACAAACTTTATAATTTTAAGTATAACATTAGAATGAAATTTTAATTAAAACTTATGTAAATTTTTACACAGTGGTTTATTATTTCTAAACAGATAATCACAGCATTTATTTTTTATTTACATTAGACTAGAGAAAGTTAAAACGAGGAGGTCCACACTTTTCAAAACTCATGACCTCACCAATTATATCTAAATCATAATCTATATGATTGTAGAGTATAAACAATTTTTTCAAAGAATTCGGAAAATTGCCGAACATTTCCCATACAAGAGAAATTTGCACACAACTCCCAGTTTTCAAAGAACTACCAGTCGCTGGACACTCTGTTTGTTAAATAGAGAATAGGCAACCTTTTCTGCTTTTGGAGTACCAATGTAATTACTGCAGATCACAAAATATACACTGAGCAAAACATCTGATAGAATTATTTTATTATTTTAAAAAACATCAATGGGAGGAAAAATTTACTATCCTCCATATTGCAAATATAATATTTCTTCATTCAAATATAATTAGAAATCATTATTACCTTGAGTTGTTTCAATAATGTTATGATAGAGGTCTGTAAACTATCATCATCTAAGGGAACTAGGGCTTTATCATTGTTAAAGGAACAGCTTTCAGCCTGAAAGAAGAAAAATAATCAAAGTATAATATATATTATGCTGCAAAGAAGGTTGTAACAAATTTCAATAAAGAAAATAAAAATTTTTTATGAATAACGCTAACTCAACAAACATTAAATGTCATAAATGCAAAATTTTAGATAAGTAAGCAACAATATCATGATTCAAGATCAATAAAACACCTACTGCTTCATCTCAACTTTAACAAGTAAACATTGCTTCAATAAAAAATTATTTTAAAAAATGTGCATCATTACGTAATATTTTATTATATACCTAATTATTATACAATGTAATATCTTATATATTTTATTATGACAAAAGAAAATATGTTATTAATAATCTTTATTTATATTTAATAATTATTAATTATAATTATTTGATCAGGACAGATAAATAAATTACTTTGGCTGGAGATATCCTTGGTGTGAATTCTGTGTCGGATCTAAGAAATGTGATTAGATTAGTAATAATCTTTGCATTAGGGCAAGGTACTCTTTCCACACAATTTTCGACCAACAGAGCTAAATGTTTTGCTGACAGTTCCTGTGGACAAGAAAAAAAAGAAATAGACTGGGAGTTGATTGATTATAAATATTCCAATCTTCAAAAAAATTCAATAAAACAAACAAACCTGCAATTCTTCATTTTCTTCACGTTTAATACTGTCCATCAGTGGCTTTACAATTGGGCTTAGCTTTTCAGGTAGTTCTTTTAGCATAACAATGGCTCCTGCCAATGCTGCCTGAGTCCTATTAACAAAATTGGTTTTGTTCATCAGAAAATAAATTAAACATTGTTATTTAGAATAATATAATTAATTAGGAGAAAGATCAATGAACTACAAAGCAAATTTACCAACCTTTAAATAATACCTTTCAACCGACTATCCACGTTTATACAGCTTGTTCTACATCTCACGGGTGATAATATTCAGGATAGAGTCATTATAAGGTTTTCATTAATGCAGACGTTTCAACCCAAACATGTGGGTCATCATCAGAGCGTGGTTCGAGCATTTAAGATATTCAAGTAATCTCAAGAAATATTCTGAATTTCTGAAGAATATTCAAGTACTATGTAGTACTTGAATATCTTCAGGGCTTGAACCATGCTCTATGATGACCTAGATGACCTACATGTTTGGTTTGAAACATCGGCACTAATAAAAACCTTATAATGACTGCGTCCTAAATGTTATACTATTAACATTTTAATGTATTGCAGAATATATCGATGTGTAGTCAGAATGAAAGATCTTGCCTAAATTGCATCATAGAAATTTAAATATTGTGAATACACTGTTTATATAGATGATATATGGTCTTAAAAAAGAGAGAAATTATAGGCCTTCCACATGGTCTCTTTCCAACTATTGACCCATTCATAGTTATTTAGAGGCTTTCTGATCTATTCCTCTGAACTATAAGTCCCAACCATCGAATGTTGATTGACCAGTTTCTGTTAGCAGTTCTTTATTGGTCCTTCCCTTTCACGCATTAATACTGTGATCCCAAATCGCTCCAGTTTTTCTTGCAAATGATTTCCCTGTCAACTTTTTCAATACTTCTTTCTTAGTGTGCTTGTTAGTGTCCAGATCTCATACCCATATATCAATTTTTCAATTTTAAATCTTTTTATTAGGAAATAATATATATTGCCACACATAAATAAAATGAATATTATAGCTGAGTTAGGCACATTCATACCATATTGTAATATAAATATTGCATAATGATTTTGAAAAGTGGCACGAAAGTAGTGACATCACTAACTACTGCCAAAAATGGACAAAGTACGACAGATGGTGGGGGAAGAGATCCATATGTTAAGGAGAAGGTAGCCAGCCAGCTAGTAAAGAGGATCAGTGAGAAGAAAATGTTAGTTAACAAATAGTGAGTGTCCACAACTAGATGAGGACAAGAAAATAATAGAACAAGAGAAAGTTGTAGAAGTTGGATACAATACCGAAGAAGATTCACTGCAGAACAGGGTGAGTGAAAAATATAAATGGACAGTTCGAAAGCACGCCAAGATTAGACCCCGACAAACAATAGAAATTCATAAATGTGCTGTATAATTAATGTATGATTTTATATTGTATAATTGAGGATGTGTATAGTTGTCTCAACCCGATTAATTATTAACACAATGCGAATTAATTATTGTGTAAAATAAATGTGATTTGATTCAGAAATTGTTTTGTTTACTTTTTGAAGGGAACGTAACCTTACAAAATATACATACAATAAAAAATAAAATAAAATAAATGAAAAAAGATAAATAAATAAAAATAAAATAAATGAAAAAAGATAAATAAATAAAAATAAAATAAATGAAAAAAGATAAATAAATAAAAATAAAATAAATGAAAAAAGATAAATAAATAAATGAAATAAAATAAAAAGTTGTTTAACAAAGGCAAAACTGTAATAAAAAAACAAAAGAAATGCAACTTGAAGTGAAATAAAATAATACAGAAATTCATAGATAAAAATGAAATAATAATAAGTACATATAAATGAATAAATATATATAACAAATAACAAGAACAAAACTACCCATATATCAGAACTGACTTCACTATAGTATTTTACCCCCTTAATTTGAGATTTCAAAGCAAGTTTCTCAATTGCTAATTGAACAAATCATCGGTTGATTGCAAAAAGTCATTAAGCGACATTTCATAATCTTATATATTTAAAAAGTTTCATAATTTTTTTTTGATTGTGAAATCAGGAAATTGTGCACTTAATGTAACTAAATAAAAATGAAGAGAAGAATAGTTGGAGTGATCAGTCAAATAAGAAGGCAAAAATAAATAATAATATTTATTTTGACATTTGACATTAAATATTACCATTTATTTTTGCCTTCTTATTTGACTGATCACCCCAACTATTCTTCTCTTCATTATTCACGACAGTCAACCATTTACCCACAATTCTAAATAAACATGTTTGTCTCATTTTCAAGTACTTGTTGTTGTAATGATAAATTCGGTCAAAATCCACAAAAACTTACTTAAAAGTTAACCTATATCAAAAATGCACAAAGTGACTTTGCAATAAACTGACAAAGTTTATTTATTGCTTTTAAGGACAGCTGTAGATATAAGGACTTTATGATTCATTCTGACACAATATACACATCTCCATTTTTACTCGATTTTGTTCTAATCACTTTTGCGGGAAAGATTGGACCCTTAGCTGTTGTGAGACTAATGAATCTTATTCCACTTTCTTTGCTGGTTTCGTCAAGGCTTTAGCCTCCAAAAATGTAACTAAAGGATTAAAACAAGTACTAGAAAAATATACTTACATTATATGGTATGTATTCTGTTCATTGAGGGTTGTTGTAACTGCATTACGAATACATTTTCTCCTTTCCTCAAGTGTTTCTAATAACTTTGGTTTTAATCTACTTTTTTCAAGCAAATCAGCAGTATAGGTTCCACAAAGATGTTCCATTTGATCTAAAGTTAAAACCTAAAAACAAAAAAATAAATTAATAAAATCAATAATTTTTTTTTAAAATAATTAAATTTATAAACTTGTGACAGTAAGAAAGATGCAATTTATATTAACTATATAATTCTTATTAGATAAAAACAAATGTAAAAGCAAGCAATGATACAAATACTCACATTAGCGCTGGTAATTTCATCAGCCACAACTTTGTAATGTTTCAACAAAGCAAAAAAATCCTTGACATCTTGTAGTAATTTTGAATAAGATAGACCAATCTCGTCATAATAAACAGTTTCAGTCAGACATTCCATCAACCTTAAATTAGGATATTATATATTAGATATTGAAAAATAAATTACAAGGAACAAAAAAAAAAAAATGTTTTTTGTTCATATTTGTTATTCTTGATTTTTTTCCAGAATAAAGTTTATTTTCTATTCTATTCAATCCTAAATTAATATCAGAAACATAAAATATAAAATAATAATCGATATGCTATAGGATAACTATTAAATAAGAAAGTAGGGGTGGATGATAGTATACAGTTCGATAAAAAACTATCGATAGTATAGAAACTTCCCGACACAGACTTATAGTCTGTGGGCCAGACCCCCTACCGTGCAACCCCCTCCCTCCCCCCACATCTCTATAAATTATCTCTATCACTACATCCCGTACATCAATAAATAGGTAGAAGAATGAAGGTGTGTTATTAAAATTGAAATTTGAAGACTTTGTTTAAAAAGAAGCTATAGTGGTACTTATGGCAGTGAGATTTTCTGAATCTCTTTCCAAAAAACAGTGAAATTTTCATTTTCAATTAAATTTAACTTTGTATTTCTTCCAGACATGAATTTAAACAAAAATCATTAATTTTGAAAAACATGTTCAACCACTAAAAGATGTAAAAATTGAGTGATTAAAATAAAGATGAGAAAAAAAATATGAAACTATAACAAATATAGAATACAATTTGTATAAGCCTGGAATAAGTTTCAAAAACATTTTAATGTTTTGTAGTATATCTGAAAGGATTAAACCCTTTAAGTTTCACTAAATCAATGAAAAGATATTAAAATATAATTTATGTAACCTGTACTACTAACATCCCATGAAGGGTTATGGGTTCAGTAAAATATGAGGAAGTACAGTTACAACGCCAACGGTTGTGCAGGGAGGTGACAGGCCAATATCACGCTCTACCACCAGGTTTTGCCTCCAAATTAATTATTTAATTAAGAGTAACCACTTTGAATAGGCTGGGTTTGCCCCAGGAGGATCTCCCAGCCCCAGGATTGGCCCACGGCTGATGAAAAATTACTAGTCATCAGTCGGATTCGAACTTGAAACCTTGAGTTCTGGATGTCAGTGCTCACCCACTGAGCTACCCTGCTCCATAATTTATGTAGCACCTTAAAAATTTTCCTTTAATGCTTCTTTAGTCCCAATTAAGTAATCACCATTACTTTGGTATGACAAGGATGAAAAATTGCAATCTTTCTATAAATCCAACCTTTTTTCCCCAGGAAGCTTCAGCTTCAACATATATAAATCAGACTATATAATCTTCATGAAAGTAGATAACAATTAAGCTTGGAAGTAAATATAGATAAAACAAAGAAATGACAATAATTTTTATGATTAAAGTTTAAATATCTGAGTTCTACAACAAACAGAATTAATTAACCAATTAATACAGTCCATGTCATGGATCCATTTTTATCAAATTATTAACATCCGCCTAAAACTTCATGAATATCTTAATCTCATCGTAACCTACAATTTTTATTTTTAATGGAAACAGAATTATGACTGAGGTGCACAGAAGGATAATACCGTGTATATTTCGCGAATTTAGAGCTTTTTAAATCATATTTGATATCAAGGAAAATGAAAATAAGGCTATACACTACCTTAATAACTTATGCGGCACTACACTACCTTAATACTTACTTAAGCGGCTGAAACATGGACGATTACTGCCACCATGACAAATTCATTAAGGGACTTCGAGAAAAAAATCCTGAGAAAAATATTTGGCCCCTTGTACGATGAAACAACCCAAGCATGGAGGATTTAAAACCAATAAGGAACTATATGATTTATTCAATCATAGTTAAATTGTGAACTTTATAAAATCACAGTGGGTCGAATGATTGTGGCACGTTCTTAGAATGCCAGATGAGAGGATCCCAAAAAGATGTTTAAAGGAAGAATTTATGGTGTCAGAGGAAGGAGAAGGCCGAAAAGAAGGTGGTTGGAGGATGTAAAGGACGACCTCAGATGGTTAAGAGTTACAAACTGGAGGGAAAAGATTAAGGATAGGGACAACTGGGGAGCTGTTGTTCAGGAAGCCAAGGCCTACCCCAGGCTGTAGAGCTATCGAAGAAGAAAAGAATCTACAAATTTTTAATTATCTAAAATTCTCAGAATTTGGAAGTTATAAATATGGAGATCGGCAAACTTTGTCTATTTAATTAGGTACTAAAAACTCATAAACATCCATTTGCTTTCCACATGAATCATCAGATAATTTGATCACAAAATCAAGGAAAAAGGAGGTCAACAAAAATATTGGGCCGTTTTATGTGATCTCCACCCACAATATGTCAAAAGAACGAAGTTTAATAGGCCAAACGACCCAATATTTTTGTAGGCCACTTTTTTTTTATTTTGTGATCAAATTATCTTATCATTCAAGTGGAAAGCCAATGGGTATTTATGAGTTTTTAGTACCTCAATAGATTAATTAATTTAATGATAAAACGTTCAATTTATGAGAATTGTTGTAGATACAAAATTTATAGGTTATGATAAGATGAAGCCATTCATGAAGTTTTAGGTGGATGTTAATAATTTTATAAAAAAAGATCTGTCCAACGGACTCGAGTACTACTGTACTAATAAGTCAAAAGAACTTACTTGACAACAAGTGGTCTTGGAGACGGTGATGGAGGCTCATTGGCAGCCCATTCAGAAACAACTAGGCCCACAACAAATCTTTGAAGTGCAGACTTGCTGTTCAAGTAAACTAGTATCACTTTCACATAACAATCTATAGGAGACTCCATTTCTTCAGTATAAACAATCCCAGGAGCTGGTTTTACTATGAACTTGGATAAATATCCTGCAAATTAAAGGTAGAAGATAGAAACAATAAATTAAGTTTTAAAAGTTCACAAAAGAGATTAAAAATAAATAAAAATACCAAGCATTCTTGTAACAGTAAATCTAGCATGAGAACTATTCTTTTCTCGAACAGTTACAGGTACTGTCTCATTTCCACCAATATATTGTTTCATATCACAACGAGCTGGATCTTGTCCCTGCACACAACGACCACTTTTCAAAGGACAAGTTCCTTCCTAAAAGTAGTAATTTTAAATCAAGTTAAAATTTTAATTTATATATTTTTTTTGTTTAAGTAACAAAATACAAATACCTTGGATATGGGTTTGGTTTGGATGAGAAGGCTTGGATCAAATGGTAAGCGAGGCGGTTGCATTGCCAAACAAAGCCATCCTGTTATATATGGGCATGCAGCAACTAGGATATCATTCAGCTTACTTTTTTCAAGAACTTCTTTCCAAACCTATAATAATTTAATAGCATTTTTTAAAAATAACTTTTATGGATTATGGAATTCCAAAGTGTGTAAATATAATAGCTTAATATATATCTCTTAACATTAAGGAGTTGAGAAATTAATAAAAAGATGTCTGCCAAGCAGTCATTGTAGTTTTCTCATCATTTGTATGTGGATATATAACTATCAATACTTCATGGCCAATGTATTTGCCATCTGAGAATAAAATCAACGGAATGAACCATTTTTGAAATATAGGCTATCATAAATAAAAAAAGGTATTACTGTTAGTAAAAATTTTCCAATTTTATTCCATTTTGAATGAATTAATAAAAATAATTTTCATTACTTATACATGGTATCCCATAAGTAGAGAAAATATTTAAAGGTTGATAGTAGACATCAAGATCTATAAAAAAGTTCGAATAAACAATTGCCCGATTTCCAGCAGAAAATTAGGAAATTTAAGATTTGTGTTTTTTAAGCGAGTCACGTTTTTGGTCGAATAGGAAGCGATAACATGAAAAATATTTGATTTAAGTAACTAAACATTGCTCCATTGTAAACTAGACAAAATTTACTTTAAGTCAAAGTAGTTTGACATTATTAAAACTATTTAAAGATGGCTATTGGGCGGACAAACACAGCTAAGTTTCGTGTAAAAAAAGCTATAAATTATTTGAGATTTTTTTTATCACCCTTTATCTGCACTGGATTTATCCTACTTTTACAAAAACTTCCTCGTTGGATAATCTTTATGTCCATATTAATTAAGTTGAGGTTTATTAGAAAAATTCCTACCCAGTCCCCTTAAATTACCCATGTTTTCTGCAAAAATGACTACAATTAACTGCTAGAAAGCTTTCATTTCTTGTTTTTCTGTAATATGGAATATATTGTAATAAACATAATTGCCTAAAAACACATTTTATTAATAAATATAAAATATTTAAAAATGATTTTTTAAATATTTATCACGTAAAGTAGTTACAAAATTGTGTTTTCCTCCCAGACCTCCATCACAGGAATTGATATATATTTCTCAGTGACAAAATTAATGTTTCTTGCTAAAATTTACATTTGAAATAAAGAAACCTACTGATCGCTTCAATTATTTTCATAAAAGCGTAAATATTAGGGCTAGAAACAATAATTTTGTCACTTATAAATATACATCAATTATTATGACAGGAATCTGGGAGAAAAACACATTTTATAACCACGTTACATCAAAAATATTTGAAAAATTCTTATTTTTATAAATAAAATGCGTTTTTAGCCAATTATGTTTATTACTAGAGACCGAATTTCCATATTACTGTAAACTTTATTTGCTTGCGTATAAAAACCCCGGACCTGAACATCTATCCATTTCAGGATAGGTAGAATAACATATTAAAATTTTATATTGCACAAAATTGCAAGTTTTAGCTTCAATTCCATTTTAATTTTTTTTTTTTTTTTTGCATTAAATTGCACATTTTGTGCTAGATTAAATGATTTATAAATATAAATATACATGTGTGTGTAAATATTTACTTTTTTATTTTACTATTTTGTCCATATTAAATTTATAATTTAAGAAAGAAAAATATGAGGAAGGTAAGTTTCTCTACATCACTTCATTCTTTGTATGTGCCTGTCAATTAACCAATTTAAGAAAAATTTAAATAAATATATTTAATAATTTGTCGGTTAATTATTGAGACTTTTTTTGTATTTGTTTTGTGAATTATCTTTAAATTTTCCGTGATTTATGTTAATCCTTATTGTTTTTTTTTAATTTATCTTCCTTCAAGATTTAGTTTAATCATAATTTATTGCTGTATTAGATTATGTATTGTCGTTAGTTGATTGTAAGTTGGATTTTAATTTTTAATGTTGTATTTTTCAATTTTACATATTTTGGGTTTATACTGCAACATTTTGCACATTATGAGTTTTTTGCTGCACATTTTTCGGATATTTACTGCATGAAGATCCGGCCTCTAAATTTCCAAAGTGAGGTAAATCTCAAAATTTTTCTTAATAAATCTCAACTTAATTAATATTGACTTCAATCGTGTATACTCAGTTTAGTTCAACTTTTTATGCTCATCACTTGAAATAATGACTATCAAAATTAAATTTTATAGCAATCAATGACTTGGAAAATATTCTACGATTCTCAGGATAAATAAATAAACTTATTGTTATTATGAAAAATAAATAAATCATTCATGTATGTCACAATAAATAAAATGTTTAAATATAATTTATAGATATTTATTTATTTAACATATTTACCACATGAACATTATCATGGGTTGCCTGATGATGCTCCAGCAGAGCACGCTGGTATAGATATCTAAGAGTTGGTTGAAGTAAAGCAGCAAAGCTAGCATGCCCTGTAAGCGACGATAATGTGTTCAAAGCAGCAGAGCGAACACTAGTGTTATTATGTTCCAGTAAAGACCAAACCCTCATCACCAGTTCACTTACTGCGGTATCCGCACTGAAATCAAAGTTTAAGATTTAAAAAAATACATATTGCATTCTTAATGCTATATAGATTCTTTGTACACCCAAGCCATATATATTGACAGTGAAAAGGTCAATGGGCATAATTTTCAAAATAAAAATTTTATGAGAGGAGCGAAACCATTTTGTTCTGTTAGCCTGAAATTTTCATTAATAATTTCATTGCTTCAAGTCAAAAACCATCCTCTGAATTTTATGGCTATTGTATGCTAAAGAACAGAGAAAATACAAACAAGTTAAATAAAAAAACATTTCAATTTTTTAAGGAAATGTGTCCCATTAAACTTCATACTATCAAACCAGGAAACTCCACACCTTGCCCATAAAATTACTTGAAAACTAGAATAATTTCTTAAACAGTATATTACAAAGGAGTAGATTTATGCCTGTCCTAAAAATAGAGCCTGGAACTAGAATATGGAAAATAGAACTGGAGATACCATAAGCAGTAAATTTACTCAAGACTCAACTAGAGGAATATACTTCATATTATTTACAAATTTTCCCGTTATATAAACGAATCATAAATAAGTAAATAAATGTTTGATACAGGATAACAATAAATAATTAAAATTTTAAATGGGTACTTTGCACTGTTTCCAAATAATATTGAGGGATTGAACACTTAAATAATGAAATAAACTTTTGAGTAAAAATGTAATTATATAAAATATAGGATAAAATAAAATATGAGACCATCGAGCTACCAACCCACACAATCTTTGAAAATTTCATAAAAATCTAATAGACCACAATAGGTGATGTGCCCATCATATAAATTTGACTACAGACAGACAGAGAACTAAATTTGCTCCCTGATGTCTAAAATGTGAACAGCAAATGAAAATTTTCAATTCTGACCATAAACATTTTTTTAACCTCTTGTAAAAATACAAAGTAAACTTTAAATATTTGTTTTCATAGACAATAATTTTGATGTAAAAAGTAAAATTTAGAGACAATAATGAATATTTATTTTAACATCATAAAACCTAAAAAAAAAATTATAAAATAAATTTATAATATTAAATATGGCTAAGAGCATATAAATTAAAAGCAAAACTTAAACTATTAGAAAAAAAAAAAACCTTTCTCTACAACCCATGAAGGGTCTTATAGGTTTAGTATTATTTAGGGAAAGTACTGTTTCTTAGTCAATGGTTGTGCTAGGTGACTTGACTGAGATCACGCTCAACCGCCAGGTTTTCCCCCTTAATTAATTATTTAATTATGGGTACCCAATTTATAGAGGCTGGTTGTGACCCAGGAGGGTCACCTTATCCCAGGGTCGCCTCACGACTAATGAAACAGAATAAATAATTTTTCAGCCATGAGCCGGGATTTCTACTCAACTTCCAAACTTAAACTAAAATGATACTTTAATAAAAATAATTATTTTTTTTAATAGTATTTAACTGGGAACAATTAACACTGGTACATTTATAAGATAGTGCGGAATGCTAACCGAAAACAAATGTAAAAGATACAGCATTTATTTAACAGAGCTATAAAATATAATACAATAAATTAATATTAAAAATCACAATAAAAACTTCAAACCTAAATTTACCTAATTCGAGAACTGACATTTTGTTTTAGAAGAAGTTGAGCTAAAAGAGGTACAAAAGTGTTCGATGCTGGAGTGAGATCATCTAATTCTGGTACTAATAAACATAATGTATTGAGAACATCAACAGCTTGTTCTGGGAACTTGGAAGCCATTAGATCTACAGAAGTAGCTAGGGCTCCAGCAGCAACTGCACCAACATCGTCCATCGCATCTTTCAAAGCTGTGTGCAGTTTAGGAAAGCACAAAGGAAACAGCTCGACCAATAAATCCTGAAACAATATTTAGTGATGATTACAGGAATATTTTTAAAACTAATAAGAGACATGATAATAATTTGTTTAGGTTTTAAATATTATAATTACATAAAAGTTGTAAACAGTTGACTCATTGGAGTAATAAATAAATTAGGTACTTTTAGTCTAAGGGGCCGTTTTGAAACCTCACTTCTTATCTATCTTATCTAACGTCATGTCATCATGTTACATAACCTCCTTCTTGTTATCCCGCCAATCTTTTGAGTTATTGCATTGTTTGGTTTTCAGTTATTCCCTTATTACGTTCACTTATTAAATTGTTTACTTTTGGCCCGTTTGTGTTTATTTTTAGTTTTTGGCCCGTTTGTGTTTATTTTACATTTTGTTTTAGTTTGTGACCCCTTGGTGTTTATTTTTCATTTTTTTTTCGTTTATTTTCGTCATATTATGGATCATCTTAGAATATGGGATTTACCGTCTTCAGAAGAACAGGCAATTCAGTATTTTCAAAATGTTGGGGTACTTGCCGACGTGAAATTGTGTGAACGAGGTCATCGAATGAAGTTAACCAAGAAGGCCAAATGGAGATGCTTTCGTAAGACTTGTGACACAAAACTCACCGGTATAATTTTGTCGATCCATCAACTGGGGTTCATACTCAACACATAGAAAGATTGTGGGGCTCAGCAAGTGGAGAAATAAAGTACATAGAGGAACTGCCAGACAACACCTCGATTCATATTTGTGCGAATTTTTGTGGCGGCGGGTTCACAGAGAAGAGGGCCCGTTCCTCGCTATTTTAAGTACCATAAAACAATTTTGCCTTCCAAAATAAATAAGACAAAAGGAAGGGAATAATTAACTTAAAATAATTTGTATATACGTTGTTTATAGTGTTTATATTTTTTCTTTTCTATGTAAATATGTTCTTTTAAATTTGTTATGATGCCGATGTTATGATTATAATTTGTTATGATGTTTGATGTTTTATATGTACATATCTTCTTAAAGTGTTTTTTTATTATTTAATTAATATATTTGCCGTCAAATAAAAGTATTTTTGTTGTTATTACATTTGTTTTTGTATCTGTTTACACTTTCAATAATACGAATTTAATACAATAATACGAAGATGTGAAGTAGGAGAAGGCTTATCACTGCGTTATGGGAGCTATCAGTGTTCAGGTTATAAACATTGGCGGATAGCAGTCAGTAGCGGCCCCTTAGACTAAAAGTACCATAAATTATATCAAGAAATTTTAGGTAATGAATACTTCATACTCAACAAAAAAAAAAAAAAAAATTACTTTCTTAAAAAAATACAATAAATAAATTTCTTGTTTTTGTGTGTGAAATCGATCCACGGACTTTATGAACTTATTTGTTATTCTCAAGTACATTGATCAACTTGTTGAATATATTTGAAATTAAATGACCAAATTATCTAATACATTTATGAATAAGGACACAAGTCTAATTTTCAAAATAGTATAGTATATAATATTAGATACAATAATATTACCTGCCTCACTGCAAAGATATATTTAATTCCTAGTAAGCCTCCATGCCTTGTTTCCCAGTCCTTTTGTTCTAATAATTTCAACAAAACCTTTAAAATATCATGAACACTTTGATGGTTCATTAAATTAGCAACAGATCCTATTAAAAAAAAAAATAATAATTATGATTCTTGGTTCATAGATAATTCATTAAAAAAAAAATAGTAGTATTTAAACCATACCAAGGACTTGAGCAGAAGTTTCACGAACAGGAGCTACAACTTGGTCAAAAACAAAATCACCAAATCTATCCAATGTAAGAACACACACAAGACGGAGAGCAACATCAATAAGCCAACTTTCATGAACAGCTTGCATCTGCAAAACAATAATAATAACAATGAACAAACCAAATATCCAACATATTCCATTAACATAGCCTATTAAAACATAAATCAGTGAAAACAATTTCTTAATAATTGCTATCAGTTTTTTTTTTTTTTTTTTTTTTCTAAGTATGATCATTCATTTAAACAGAGAACAAAAAAAAAAATTGTTCCATCAACTTTTGAAATGTAGGCCATCCCATACATTTCCTGTTTTCTCCCTGTATTTTACACAACTGTTTCCCGAATACCATATAAAAGAAGTTTTTCTACGTTACAAATTAAACAAATAAGGACAGCCAACTGTAATATAAACTTTTATTGCAACCTACTCATCTTATAAGTGCTTGTTATTTTATGTTGATTTTGTTTTTCTACCCTTCCTTGTCTTTTAGGGTTATCCGGTTTTTTTTTTTTTCTGACGAGGGGAGAGGGAATGGGATTAATGCCAGAGTTAAAAGTCCTCCCAACACCCGGATTGGAAATCATAATTTTCGGTTTATCAGGTTGTCACTGGGCAACATATGTTATACACACACATTATCTTACTCACATACTGTTCCCAGGTTCCTGCACATGCAATGTGATAACCTCTACTTAATGTCTACAAGATGCATTAACAAATTGATTGTCAAAACCAACTAAAGTGAGCTCAGAGAATCACCTTTTTAAGCTTGGTTGGTTAGAAGCATATTTCTATTTTTCCACTTTTGTTATCAACCAGGTATAATTAATACAGAAATATGTAGGTATTTCAGTTTTATAATCCAAGAGCTTTTGAAAGTTAACAGCCAGTGGTAAGTGAACACAGCTTTTTCAAGTTTTTCAACCAATAATTAGGTAGTTTGTCTGGACCAATTGCTTTCCAGTTTCACATTTTATTTAAAGCCATGGTTATGCCAATTTCTTGTATCTCTACAGCCTGCATCATCGGGACATTAGCCACACTTTCCTTCCCTTCCTTCAGCCAATATACATCTTTATTAAATTATTTAACATACACTATATAGTTTTCCAGTGACCAATTCAATCAGTGACTTGCTTTCTGGGAAACTATCACTTGTCATTGTTTTATCGACAGATAATTTGTCTATAAAAAAGTTTCTCATAAGTTGTAAAAGCTGCATTTTGCTTCCTTCTTTCAGCAGCCTCAGTATATCTCCCCATTCTATTCTCATAGATTTCCAGTTTCTGCTTCATACTATCCATAATTTTTGTTAATTTCTGATTCATTTCAGCTTATTGTATCCCTATTATTTTATATAATATTATTTTAAGATTAATTTACTAGCTGGGGCCACTCTGTTCAAGATGTCTGTTACTGGGAGCATATGGTAAAATCCATATCTGGTTAATTTTTTACTTACAACAAATATCAAAAAGTTCCTTTCTATATTATCTGAAGTGTCCAACGGATCATAGAACTATTCTCCTCCATTTATCTTTTCAATAGAATTTTAGTTCGTCGGAGACTGTCATAAATAGTAATATTTCAATTTTTAAAACCTAAACATTCAAGAAGTATGCCATCACAACCATAGTACCACAGGCTTCAGTAAGAATTATAATTTATCTTGAAAATGGAAGATTTTTGGGTTTTAAAACACAAGGACTGGTATAGTTTCTTAGCAAATGTACTGGGACTTGACCACATTGAAATCTTTAAAATATAATTTACCCTGTATTGACCCATCAGCATTTGAAACTAAATGTTTCTTCAAACCTCCTAATTTTTACTGATTTTTATTCCACTTGTAGCAAGACTTTACATACTGATATCAGAATTTGTTACCTCTCCATGAAATTCCTCGTCGTTTGATACCTCATTCATTAAAATCCATTGCTCATGAGAGCCGGAAAAGAAATCTATATTATCATATTATATCCAGTATAAATATTTAATATTGATATTCAATGAGTTTATTGGAGATGTATTATTCAAGTTCAAGTGGTATATAAATAACACTTTTAAATTAAAGGGAATGTTTGTCAATAAATTCTAAATAAATATGTTCAAGGGGTAATATAACTTATTATACAAATTATAATAGCTGATTATAAACAACAGCATTGCACTCAAACTTTTACTATATTAAATTACAGCAAAAAAAATATAAGCCTATCTTTAGGTAAAAAATAAGTCAGGCATGAGTAAAAATAAGTAATCATATATTTAGGTTCATAATTAAATTATTTTAGGTTATGGTAGTATTAAGATGTTATTGGTAAAAAATAAATCATTTATATTATAGTTTTAAAAAAAACCTACTAGTCCTGAAGAACATTGTAAATTGATCTTTAGTTAAGAAACTTCTTTTATAAATCACAACATTTAATATACAAACCACTTTATTTCAAATGAATTTGATACAAAAAATATATTGATATTGATGCTCAAACTTACAGAAGTTATAAGTGTAAATTTTATTATTTTATACGTATATAATTATTTTATTATTGACATTAATGAATCAACCTCATAATGATTCAAATTTTGTTTTTCACAGGTTAAATAAAATAATTTCACTAAGGCATGTCTCAATACACAATTATTTAATTTCAGGGTATCAAAAATAAAATTAGTACGAAAAGAACTTTGCATTTCTAGCTTAAGTACGTGAGGCATTTGATACACTTAAATTTATTGAATTTTTTGCTTGTATGTGAGAATACTTTCTATATAAAAACTTATCTTTTTTAATTTATTTTTTTTGTATTTAAAGTTTCTTTTGCTTCCTCACTATCAAAGGTAGGGAAGCAGTGTATTCGTGTGACAGGTTAAAAAAAATATTGTGCTCAAAATCGAAAATTTCCACTTATGTTTCACATTTCAGACATCAAGGATCAAATTTGGTTAAGTGTCTGTCGGTCTGACTGTAGTAAAATTACCTACTAGTGCTTATCCGACTTTCATGAAACTCTCAAGGAGTGGGATTGTGCCTAGATAGTCCCATATCAAATTCCATCCAGGACTTCCCCTAATGCACATGCAAGCAGATTTTTTTAGATATACCAATATTTTAGAAATGGCTCGTTCAATTTGGCTCAAGTTGGAAAAAAAGGTACGTATTATCATGTACAATGAAATATCAAATTTATAAGGAGTTGGTTGGGTGGCGGGGAGGGAGTGGTCAAATAAATACTATATGTTAAAATAGTATTTTATTGTTTACGCGTAATAAAAATACTATTTTAATATATAACCAACTCCTGCTCCTAATATAATCATGGTCAACCATCTCTACACTAGTATCAATTTTATTGAATTCAATCTTCTTCCACTTTCTCTTATATATGTGCAAACATATTTTCCTTGATACGTCTATATCTCTAAAACCGCACTTTCAATTTGGCTCAAATTTGGAGGGAAGTTAGAGATTGTAAACAGATAATCAAGCATGTATGAATTTTACCAAATTCTCAAAACCACTACTTCCAAAAAAAAAATACTTCGGTTTTCAGATCAGGAAATATATTATTTGACATGCCTATAATTTGAAAACGGCTCGTTCGATTTGACCCAAACTTGGAGGAAATTGGGAGAATAGTTTATCTAGTATCAATTTCATTTAATAATTAAAATTAATATAAATAATTGTTAACAATATAATGGCTGTGAAATGTGGAAGGCATCGATCACACGGAGTGGGACTTATATTAATACAATAATTATATGGGGTTATAAAATTTTAGGTTTTATTCAAAAAGTTAATTTATACTGTATTGTTTGGTCGACTCTAAACATTACTGGTCTGACACTTACTGCCATTAGATTTCGTGTAATTTTGAATAAATTTAAATTAATTTTTACTCTGAGCTCATAAAAAAGTCTTATTTGTGATTGTGTTTATTTCTAATGAAGTTCAACTAGCTCGACATGATCTCAATTTCCTCCTGAAATATCAAAGTTGTGTGAACTTCAAACATATTTTTATATTCCAGCTTAATTACTTTTTCCTATGGATTTTTTGTTCCATTCATTTTACGAGTGAAAACATACCTATTAAGTACATATCACTAATGTCAAATTTTATCTAAAAATCATCCATTCAGTTGTAGAGAATAAAAAATTTTAAAGGAATTATTAGGAATTTCTCTTACATTTCTCAATTTTTCTCCGTACATGAGAAATTCCATTATAAATCTCATTTTCAAGAAATTTCCATATGCTAGACACCCTGTGACAGTTTAAAATTTCTGGAATAAACTGGTAGGCAAACTGATCAAGGGTTATGTATGATTAGGATCTGGAATGTTTGGAGTTTATATGGAATATTATATAGATCGAGTTTAAATGAAAGATTTTATTTATTTAAAATTTAAACAAACATATAGAAAAATATCTTACAAATTTTTAAGCAATACCTGCGATTGATTAATTTTAGTCGATTTTCCACCAGAACGTCCATGATTTTTAATTAGATGTTTTAAAGCAGTGCCAGCTCCATGCCTGATTTCCCAAGTTGGAGAGAATAAGTTTTCTGCCAGCTGTTGGCAAAACCAATCTAATGGCCATTCTACTGTCTGTAAAATAAAATAAAATATTTATTATAAAAAATAAATATCACCAATCATAAATACTTATACAAATAAAACCAATAATACATTGAATAAATGAAAATGACAATCTGCATAAATGGTAATTTTTTTTCTGTTGGTATTACAGACCATGTAGATCATCTTTTGCCACCTTAACAAGCCTGCTCCATCTCTGGTCCATTTCCATTTATCTGCATGCAGCTCTGTTGAATCTATCCATCCATCTGCTTTTTGGCCTTCCATGTGGTCTTTTGCCTACTATTGAGGCATTCATTGTTACGTAAAGGCTTCCAGATGAATTTCTACGAGCTACATACTCCACCCATCTTAACCTCTATGCCTTCATATCTAAATATTTAAATGATAACTACTGCATTAATATAATTCAAGATTTGTGGAAATGTATACCATAAATAACTCCCCTCCCAAAAAAAAAAATTGATTTTGATAATTGGAATGGAAAATTTATTTTTACAATTATTATTTTCGAGTACTCTGAAAGTTCGATGATGGGTTCACTCTGAAAATAAACAGCTTATAAAATGGAGACTGGATTTTACAGGAAAAACCTGAAAAATTTACCCTATAATACTTGAAATGTGAAAAATCAGATAGTAAAAACCCAAATGTCGTAGAATGTCGTATAACACCTTAGGAGTCAGAAACTTCAGAGGAGCCCATGAAACAAACCAAAAATGGGAAAGAATCGGTGGCAAATTTCCGCATGGCAACAGGGCACGATTACCTGCAAAGGCATTTACATAGGATTGGAGTGTTGGAAAGTCCTGTGTGCCCTCTTTGCCAACAGGACGAGATGTACGACGTGCACCTCTCAATTTGCCCCGCTCTGTCTGGTGTCCGCAGTACATCTGATGGGATCGGAACAAATTTAAACAAAGGATTCATGGCGGAGTTGTATTGGGCTGCCAGGAGCCAAATGGCCTAATAGCCAACTGCGGAAGCATTTAATAAAAAAAAAAAAAAAAAAAAGAGTCAGAAACTGGAAAGTGGCCGCACAGAATAGAGAAGTTTGGCGGAAGCTCATTGATGAGGCCAGGACCCACTGAGGGTTGCAGAGCCATTAAGATAGATAGATAGATTACACCTTAAGCATTAAAATAAATCTTTTTGATTAACTTTACAATATTAATACATAGAAAACTTATCGAACATTTATAACAAGGTCAAATAAGCTTTCCATTTATTAATTCTATAAATAAACAAAACTTATTGCAATTTGTTTGCTTATGATTGTGGTTTTACACATTTTGGACACTTACTGCCCACTTTTGTATTCTGAATTTTTTCCAATACGTATTCACTTTCACTTACCTATATATGAAATATATAGTAAAGGAAAGTATTGCAATCGTGAAAATTTTTGAATCTCAGTTTTCAACAGAAATACACGTTTTAAGGTTCCGTGAGTCCAAATAACCAAGTCCTGCTAAATGGTCTGTGTGTGTGTGTGTGTGTGTGTGTGTGTTTGTGTGTGTGTGCGTGTGTGTATTAACAGTTCAGCTGAAAAACGAAAAGTCGTACAAAAGTGAAATTGCATATTTAAGGTTTTTATATGCTAGGAATGTTACAGTAACTTTTTTGTCAAAACTAACTGACCGGAAGTGGCACTTTACATCATAGACTAAACACATTTTTACAATTTTCTCGGAATCGGCTCTAAGGATTTTGATTAAATTCATTATATCAGTGTAAAATTAAGCAGTTTTAAATAAAATGTAGTTTTTATTCTGATTGATGTTCTCTAACAGGGCTTAAATGGCTAATTTTCAATATTAGCTTCCTCTAAAGTACCTTTAATTTTTTTTATTTGAAACAATTGACTATTTCACATTAATCTCTAATATAAAAGATAGTTAAATATAAAATATGAAAGAATTTGATAATTAACTAAAGGAGAAATAAAAATCGTAACGGAGAATAGTTGTAATTGATCGTACCCGAGCTCGCCTGAAAGATTATAACAGGCTTTCATACATAACATGAGCTTAATATAACACGGACTCCGACAATATTATATAAATATACAAATGCGGTTTTCATGCTATTGTTGATATTATTTAATATTTAATTGTATAGATTACACCAATATAAATATTAAAATTTGTATATATAAGGTTACTTATACAAATAAAAATACCTACAAAAAAAAAAAAACCTGTACCACTACAACCCATAAAGGGTCTGGGGTTCAGCACTATTTAGGGAAAGCACTGTTTCTAGGTCAACGGTTGTGCAAGGAGGTGATTTGACCGAAATCACACTCAACCGCCAGGTTTTCTCCCTTAATTAATTATTTAATTAAAGGTACCCACTTTATAGAGGCTGAGTGTGCCCCAGGAGGGACTTCCCGACCCAGGGTCGCCCCACGGCCAATGAAACAGATAAATAAATTTTCTGCCATGAGCCGGGGTTCGAACCTGGGACCTTTGCATTGGAAGCTCAGTGCCCTACCACTGAGCTACCCCACTCCCTCAAAAATACCCACAATGCAATATAAATAATTATAACATCTAAAATTTTTATTTTCACTTCTCCTTTGTCTGAAAATTTTACTCCTTATTTCTGCTAAAAAGAGGGTAGGTAAGTGAAAGTCGTGTGATGCGTGCACCGCACCAGATTTTTTATGATATTTTAATGGCATAAAAATATGGTCACTAGTTAAAACAATTAAAAAGAATGAATTCAAATCAATACTTACATCTATAGGCCAATTATTGGTGTTGTCTGGAACTGGATATGAAACTTCTTCATCAGTACTGGACTCCAGTTTTATCTTCTTTTTTTCTGGTTCTTCATCTTCATCGCTTTGCTGATATGAACCCATTTTTTCCTTTGATCTTTGTTTTAACATAGCCTGCCTTGCTTTTCTCCGAGCTCTGTTTACCTCTCTGCAGCTCAGTCCAACTACCTCTCCTATATTTGGCTAAATAAACAAAAATATTAACTATGATTATTATTGAACTGATCTATAAATATTTTAATAACAATAACATGAGACAATACTACCGAAATCTGGCATTATCAACACAGGTTGTGAAATTTGAGATTTTGGGAATAAAAATGAAGAAAGTAAACAAAAAATGTTGGTTTGTATTTCTTATCAACATCCTTTTATGTTAACACTAATTACTAATCATTTTAATATATATTTTTCTCAATCTAATTTTCCTTTTTTTTTTTCTCCTTAAATTTATTTGTTTTTTTTTTAAATAAACAGCTATCAGCAGGGGATTGGCAAAAACTATTAATTGGGGATAGGTTACTCTAACAAATAGGAATTATTAAGTGTTCTCCATTTCTGCTGAATTTTGTTCTATATAACCTACTCAAAGGTAGCAAATATTCGGCTTACTGTGGTATGAATTGCTGTCCAGTCATTCTTTCATTAAGGTTTTTTTTTTTTTAACTTTTTTTACATTTAACTAGAATTCAGCATACATTCAACAAACATATTCTACTTTCTTAAAAATAGCATCAAGACTAAGAAGGTCTCGCTCTGCCAGCTCACAAAATTCCAATTTTCTCATCAGATAGAAAAATAAGTCATAGTCCATCCACTGAGAAAAGTTCTAGTTCCCTCCAAAGTTTCCATCTTCAGACCTATCTCCATTCTCTCCAATCTTTCAAAATTACTAGAAAGACTAGTCTATTCACAACTTAATATCTTCGTTGAGTGAAGAGCTCTCCTCAATCTCCTCCAATCCCAGTTTTCTACTTAATGTGCTTTGTTAAAAATTATTCAAGACCTTCAATTCTCTAAATATAAACAGAAAACTTGTCAATGTTGCAGAAACAGAGCCTTGATTCTCTTTGATTTCTCAAAAGCTTTTGATGCAGTTTATCATGAAATCCTTCTTTCCATAACTCCCTTCATAATTCCAAACTCTAAAATCTCTTCTTCTCTTATAAACTTTTGAAGTGTTTTCTTCCTTCTTATCTGATAGATCCCAAACAGTTATCATTCCCAATAAAACTCCTTCCTTCTCCCTGATACTAAATCCTAGTGTTCCTCAGGTATCTTCCCTATCACCAACCCTTTTCTTCATCTATGCTTCACTCCCTTCAATAATTTTCTTTTACTTATTATCAATTAATGAATTCTGTGAGACAACCATAATGTATCAGAGAGATGACCTCTGTAAAAAAGAAATTTATTGACTGATTCAAAGGTCAAACAGTAAGACAATTTTGGTTGGCTGTTTCCGTTTGGCAAGTACTAAGAAAACACCACAACGATCATCTCACAATTCAACACTTGGCAAAAGTCGATTGGTAATCACTGAATAACAAGTTCCTAATAGTGCCAGTACCTTTTTATTGAGCCAGTGCAACCACAGTAGTTGAGGAAATGAAATGAGGTTATACTGAAAAATGATATAAATTCACTATAGACCATGGATCATTCATCACTATTCTATGAAAAACTAGATCAAATCAGGAAAAAGTTTGTTTTCCAGTCATGACATAGTACTTTTCATAATTATAAATCTTTTGTTACATTAACCATTGAAGACAATGTTTTAACACTACTTAAGCAACATTATACAAACCTTCACTGGAACATCATTAGTATTAACTATTTCTACTTTCAAATCATCTATAGTATAAAGAGAGCTTGTATCGAAACCCAGTTCAGCAGCAGCAGTTAGATTTAATCGTTCATTCAAAACATTCCTTTGCTTCTCCAAGTCCTCTTTAGTATTAGCTAAAAGATGAAAAAAAAAAAAAAAAAAAAATTAATGGAATATAAATAAATATAAGCTAAGAATATTAATAAAAATAAACAAAGAAATGGAAACAATAAGGAAATTATAAATGAAACAAACAACTGCATAAGTGTCGACCTACTTTCTCCAAGGCAAATAAGAATGATGAGCATATGTTATCCCTACACTGAAAAATTTATTAATCTTCAGCCACAGTCATTCCAGCCAAAATTATGGGACGCATTAAATAATTTTGTATTATTTATAGCATCAAGACTGACTACCTGATCATTAACTCCTAAATTACTCCCATCAACCATTAGGGGGATGCAAATTTTCAATGCAGGATCGATAAAAATCAATTGGTTTTTGACCAAAATATATAGAGGTGGGCATATTGGATATTGTAAATATTTTCCTAGACAGTGTTGAAACCGCCCGATGGTGCAACATCGGGTGAGTATGTTGGATGAGACAGTCCCTCCCACCCCAATTCATTAATTTTTTCCAGAGTTCATCTCATGTAGTGCGATCTTGCATTTTTGTGTTGTAGAATAACGCCTTTTCAGTTGACAATCACTTACGACGTTTTAATTAAAGACTGATTTACACAATCCAATTGTTCATAATAAAGGTCTGCATTTACAGCTAGTCCAGGTTCCACCACTTTAAAATGAGCAACGCTGGTAATACTCCACCAAACACAAAAAGGTCTATTTGGGTTGTAAATCTGGCTTAGTGGCAATTCTTTTGGAGAGAGCCACAGCCTTTTGCATTTAGGATTATGATTCAGAACCCATTTTTCATATACGGTGACCAAGCAATCAAAAAATGCTTCAGTATTGTGCCGTTGAAGCAATAAGTTGCATACAGAGGTTTTTCAATCTACTGCAAATGTTTTTGGATGGTCAGCCAATGTTGGTTAAGACTGTTCGATAATTCCACGATTGTCTGACACGGGTTTGGTTCGACTTCCACCCTTAACACGTCACTGTCTAACGTTGCTGGTCTTCCTGATCAATAGGAGTCAAAAGATCAAAATTACCGGATTTGAACTTAAAAATTCATCTTTGGCATTTACGAACATCTAATACTTTTGGATCAAAATCGCAAATGTTTTTGCTACTAACAGCTGAGTTATTACCCTTGCAAAACTCAAAAAGCATGGAAGGCCAGATATAAACCTCTTCTGGTATTTCGCTAAAAAAAAATTTAATTAAATCATTTGCAACTAAAGAAGTCACTATAACCTTAGAATGTCTTTGCCATGACATAGATGTAAACAGTGAGCTGCCAAGTGACAATCAAATAGTGACATGCTCCGAAATGACATTAACTCCCCTAATATTTCACACATAATAATAAAATTTTGTTTTTCATTTAACAAAAAATAAGCTTAGTTTTAAAAAGAGGAAAGAAAGTATATGGTGATGTAAGTTCTGTAGCTATAATTAGTAAGTTATGATTAGTTTTCTCTTGTGAGAACTCTCAATTTAGATGAGCATAGATATTCTTTAAGAAACTACCCTCTTCTCCCTTCACAACCGAAAAATGCCACTTTCACTCCTCTCTCTACCCAAAAATTTTAACAATGCAAACTTCTCTGTGGGAACCCCTGAATACATCTATTTAATAACATATTAGTTGATGTATTAAATCAAATTAAACTGTTAACAAATTGGAAGTGGTCTGCAACTAGCTTGCTCTTGTTGACTTCCATTCTATACTAAAGTTATAGTTTTGTAATAAAGAGTTGAACAAGATTTTTCCCAAAATGCACTCTGCTCTATTAATTATCATTTTAAAAATATTTATTCTGAAGTTAAGAGGAATTTAAAATATTTTAGCAACACGGCAAAAAAAAAAAAAAAAGTGCCAAGTCAGTATAGCTTCCTCACCGTTTCACAGTTTTCATTGGATAAATACTATCTCTGTATTACAAGGTCTAAAATTGTTTGTATGAGAACAAAATCTCTAGGAGAAGCCGTTTTCGGAAATTCAGTAATCCCTCAACATATACAGATTTGATTTCCACGGGTTTTGTTCATCAGGGAATACTTTTTTTTTTTTAATTTCTTTATGACATTTACAACTGTATTACATAAATACATCAAGTAAATTTGGACATAATTGATATAATGACATGAATACACTTGCTGAGTAACTACCCAATGGTAGCACTCTAATGATATGACTACATTAGGAGATCACGGGGCCATCTTCTTTTCAGACGCCTCGGAGGGTTATCAGGAATTGAAGAGGAAGCAAGGTTAGAAACGAGAGGGTTGGGATGATTCTGAAGTTTATTATGGAAGGATAGGTATCTGGATTGAGCCAGATCTGAAACATAAGGAACATTAAGATCTTTATGGATAATTTTATTAGTGACAAAGTAAGGAGCATTGAGGATTTTACGAAGGATTTTGGATTGTAAGGATTGGATGCTAGAGGAATTCGATGGTTTAGTGGAGCCCCATAGCTCAACTCAGTAAGTCCAAATAGGTCTTATTATAGTCAAGTATATGAGTCTTTTGTAATTAATGGGAAGTTTAGAGCGTTTGTCTAGTAAGTGCTGAAGTAATCGGAAACGTCGAGCGGTTTCTTGTCGTTTCAGTCTAGTATGAGGATTCCAAGTTAGTCGTTTGTCCAGGTGGAGTCCTAGGTATCGGATTTGCTCAACAGGGATAAGTGGAGTATTATTAAAGGAAACTGTAGGACAGGAAGTCGTTGGTTTACGACAAAGGGTAAAGGTAATTTGGTGGGATTTATTGGAGTTTATTTTAATTCTCCAGTTTTGACACCATTCTTCTAGATTTATGATGTGTGATTGAAGCATTTGGGATGCAATTGCTGGGTCAGGGAATACTAAATTGCAAAAGAGTTCCGCATTTGCAGATTGCAGATTTGATTATTCGTGTCAAAAAAAAAAAATTCCAGTGCATACTGAACATTAATGTATGGAAAAATTGAATGTTTTACATGAGAGCATAAAAACTAATTGTTTCATTATGATTTATTAGTATAATTTTATATTTTATTCTACTATTTTCCATCGTCGCAGACTGTTTATATGAGTTGCAAACTATAAAATATCACCTTTAGCACAAATAGAATAAAAGTTGAAAATTTTTACATAGAATATTTTGCACCAACAGTAATGATATATACCTATACGTATGATTTCACTCATAAAATGGATGGAACAAAACATCCATAGGAAAAATTCAACTTTTTGTTTGTTTGGAGTTACACGAATACAATGCTTCCCTACCTTCGGTACTAAGGAAGCAAAATGTTTAAAATATCAAGATCTAACAAGTAGCATAAATTATAATAAAAAAAATTAAGAATAATGATAATTTGATTATACCTGCATTTTGTAAGGAAGTTTCATATTCTCTACCCTCTGACCCCATCAAATGCGCACTGTTTTCTAAAATGTTATCAACATTAAAATTACTACATGTCAGGCGTCCAGTCAATTCGGTAACATCAATTGATCCATTGACATCTGAAAAGCATAAGCATCAAGCATAATTTTATTAATTAATTTAAAAATAACAATCAAAATTAATACCAATTAATGAACTAACAAGGACAGAATACAGTGTATGGGACACCGATTTCAACCAATTTTATTTTGGTGATACTACATCAAAAATATTATATATGTGTCCCAGCATTCTTTCCAATGGGCCCTAGGAGCCGAGAAAAAAAAATTTTATATAATTTAAAACAAAATTTATGTTATTTATTTTTGCCTTTGCTCTGTCCGGATTTTTAGGTTAGTACATATCAATTGTTTTATTTTTTTATGCAGAAAAAGAAAAAATATTAACTATTGTATTAAATGAGTTATAGGTCCATTTCACACCGAAGATGCAAGTGCGTCTTGCAGCCTGGATGTATATTTACTCCTTTCACCTCACCCCCTCCCACAGTGGGACGAATGACTAGTTTCCGTAGACATGGGCCTAAAATATGTAAATTATGTCGGATTAATTAGATATTTAGTACCCTCATGTTTCATGTGCTACTATTCATGGCATCAAAATTAGAAAATTTTCTTGAAAAACATTGAATATTCTGATTTATTTGTTTAAACCTGGGAAGTTTTATTTAAACATGACAATAACTTCAATTCATTAAATTCAAAAATGATTAAAACTTTTTAAAATACAAAATGTTATATGCCTATTTATAACTACTGTTTATATTACTACATAATCATTATATATGTAGTAATATGGCGTATAATATGCCTTGAGCACATCTTACACGGGTAACCATTGAACCCAACTTTTATTTAATTTTATACTTTAGTACATTTGTGTTTGTTTATTTATTTAGATTACAGTGAAAATAAATTATGATTGTATGCAGTTAAAATAATAATATAAATGTTTATTTTATAAATAGGCAGATAAAATTAAAATTTTAAAGCCATGAAAACAAAGATTTAATATTTAATGCAATTTTTTTTATTATTTTACTTTGAGATATTTTTCAAAACAAATAACTATAAAACATTATTTCCTTTCTGTTTAGTACAATTGTTAAAACTAAATTTGAGAGCATGTCCAGCTATATTATATGAGATTTTAGTACATATCTAGAAATTATCAATCAGATCTTAGGCGGATCATACCTGTTATAATTAATAAAAATTTCTCTTTAACGATGAATCCTAAAATGTGAAAAGAAGTAAATTTTTCGGAGGATATCGAAGCTGTTTTTAAATTGCAGTCTTTGTAAATATTTAGTTTTAAAACCCCTTTTTTGCTAACAAAAAAAGGAAAAAGATTAAAAATAAAACAGGTTTTATACATTATTATATTTTTTCTAGGTAAATAGAATGACAGCAAAAAGTTGGAAAAGCTTCAAGAAAAAATTATGAACCACCAGCTCAAACCAAGTAATTTTACAAAGAATAGGATGGTTGATTATTCATATTTCGGACTCACGCACTAAACTAAACAGAGATAATGGACATAAACAGAAGGTGCAAGAGGCACGTGCATCTTTGGTGTGAAAGCCCTTTTATCAAGATGCAAAACGCACATGCATCCTGCTTGTGCATGCATTTTGCGTCTTGCATCTTCAGTGTGAAAGGCATCATATGTATCATAAATTACAAAAAACAAGGCACATCCAGTAAAGTAAGCCAAGTAAATTTTTGTTATGAAAAAGCTAATTAGATTCCTTTTAGGGCCATTTAAAACTCTTAAATATACGAATTGTGATGTAAATAAAAAAATATAACCTTTAGTACTCGATTTTCTTAGATGAATTTTTTCTGTCAGTCAACTAAAGAATTCATAACTTCTCAGAATTTTCTTCAAATTCAACTTTAATATAACTATTGAAAACCTTAATTAATGCCCTTCCAACTAACACCAATAGCTTTTTGATTTTTTTTTCAAGCTAGAAATTAAAAAAACTTCTAACCTTTATTTATTTATTCCACCCTCCCATGCCACTATGGCAATACGGGTGTTTGCGATAGTGTGTTTTAGGCATGACTACTTAATAACACACTACTACTAGTTAACATGATGAGCACACAGTTCTTCTGTTCGATCTTCTTCCTTCTATTTCAGCCTAGCTTTCAGAATCTGGAGGTCTTCCTGGCGGTTGTCCTCTTCTTCTGCGGGCACCAATACGGAAATGAGCGGGCCCCACCACAATCTTCCATCCATATATGAAATCCTTAAACTGCGGGAAAATTTCTAGGAAACTCATTTCTAGTGAGGACATAGATTCCCGCGGCTCTTATCATAGTCGCTCTTACCGTTTCAAATGTGGTGCAGGTAATGACTTCTAACCCATTATCATTTTGTATCTTTAGTTTTAATTTGTTTACAAAGGTCGAGTTTATACCATTTCGTATAGCACACTAAGGCCTAAATCCCTATTAATTGTTATGTGGATCGGTGAAGGCGTTCTAAAGTTATCACAAAATTTGTGGTTGTTGACGAAATTTCGAAGGTTTATGGTTGTTGAAGAATTTTTATAGCCATCGAAAAATTATAATTTTATCCACGAAATTTATGCCTAGGCTGGACCATTCCTTCTAAATTTCATCAACAACCATAAAATTTGTGATAACTTCAGAACAGCTCCACCAATCAAGACAAAAATTAATAGGTTTACAGCCCTATATGCTTCACGAAATGGTACACAATTAACTTCCGTAAACAAATTAGATTCAAAAATAAAAATGATTGGGAAGTGTTTCTTAATTTCTAATTTAAAAAGGAATAAATTCTAAAAGTTATCAATGTGGGCTGGAAGGATAGTAATTCAGCTTTCCAACGGTGGTACAAACATTGAAGTTGGAGAAAATCCTAAGAAGTTATGAATGTTTTTGTTATCGGCCAGAAAAAAATTTCTCTAAGAAAATCCAGTATTTAATTTTGAATTTTTTGATTTCTATAAAAACTTGTATTTAAGAGTCTCTTACGACATTAAAAAATAATCTAACTTGCTTTTTTGTAACAAAAATTTATTTCACCTACTTAACAGAAAGTGCCTTTAGGTTTTTATAATTTATGATGCATTATATCTCATTTAATACAATAGTCAATATTTTTTTCTTATTCTGCACAGAAAAAGAAACCGATTGACATATAATACTCTGAAAATTTGAACAAAGCAAAGGCAAAAATAAATAATATATTTTGTTAGAAATTATATAAAATTTTATTTTTCCCAGCTCCTAGGGCCCATTAGAAAGAACGACGGGACACTTCTCTCATATTTTTCGATGTATCATAACCAAAAAAAATTTGGTTGGAATGGGTAATCCACAGACTCTATCCTGTCCTTGTTAGTTGATTCCAATTTATAAAAAAAATTACTAAATATATAATAACATTTGCAAAACATGAGTTACATGTACCGATAAAAAAAAAAAAAAAAAAAAAAATGATAAAGGCTAATTAAACTAAAATTAAAACCACTAAAGCTTTTTAAAAAAAAAAACTCAGTTCTTATTATCAATATGGGGAATAAACTTCTTAATTTTTTTTAAAATTATTTACATTAACTATTAATCCTCTAATTTTTAGTTATTCCATATACTTTACTTTTATTTAATGTTCATATAGTGTGAATGAACTCCTATTACCATTACAATTACTAGTGTCCTTAATTGTGACAAAATGTTATGAAATATCAGAAAATTTTTAGTTTCCATTCTTCTTCTACCTTCCAAAGAGCATTTACTCATGTATCCTCATTTTTAATTATAGTAAGTCTCAAAATGTTCTTTGATCAAAGAATGTTAGATGTAATGTAATTCACAAGTGTCATGTCTGAATGATGGACAGTCCAAGATCACTTCGATCACACTGTACAAGGAGTACCATAAATACTCGAATGAGATAAAAAATTCCACCTTGTGATAACACCAATGTTTATGTTAACTTTGGTTACATTTCATTGAATTTTAATATTTTATAGCAAAATTTAAATATTGAGTTAGGTTACATCATTACATTCACTTTCATTCTTTGATATTAAAATATTTTGTTAGGCTAGGTGATACCATATTTTTCATTCTAAGAAATAATAATGAATAGCATCTATATTAAGCCTCTTGTACTTTGAAATAGAAATTTCAACTTGTCCAAAATTGATAAATAAAGTACTGTCTCTGCACAAGACAATAAAAAAGACATCTAGTCATGAATTGTCCTTATTATTTTTATGTATTCAAAATATTTAAATTTCTATGATTATTTTAATAAATTGGTCTTGACAGTTTTCCATTTTTATTTATTAATGCAATTTAATCATTATTATTACTCATGGATAACTAGATTTGTAAATATAGTTATTTGTAATATTGTGCTAAAAATTAAAGGACTGCAGGAAACGCAGCTGTTAATGGCAATCCATGTTCAAATGTGGTCATGTAAAGTTGGCCCACAAATTACCCAGACAGCACTCATTTACCAGAACCAAAAATTCAAATAATACAAATAGAGATCATAAAAAAAAAAAAATTACAGAAGTAATCAATATCTTTAATAACTATACCTTTTTCGTTCGAGACACCAATAGGATCCCACAAGGGAACTTTTTTCAAAATCGCTTCAACAGCCCATCCAGCAGCAATGCGTGTATCCCATGATGTTGACTTTAAATAGGTTAAAACACTTTTGAGTAAATTGTGGAGTTCATGTGGATGGAGGCGTTGAACTTCTCCTAACTGATTAGCAGCAGCTCGTCTGGTTACAGCAGAAGAGCCAGATTCCAAAAGGAGGAAGAGGCGGTCGAGCCTACTGTGACAGGAAAAAAAATATTTTGAAAAAGATGAACATAAGATTCATTGATTGGTTAAAAAAAAATTAAGAAATAAAATTCATTAATCAATACTTCACTTGACTGATATCAGATTTGAATGCACTCTGATGTTTAAGTTTACAACACAGGGCAGAACCCAAAAAAACAAGAATAAAAACTACTTACCTAGAAGCCATTAGTACTTGAAAATTGTCAACTGCATCAGGACATTAATCTGAAACAATTACAGAACCAAAAACTAATCAAACAATCTGGTACAAAACATGGAAAAGCATTCTGATAGTACCTAAAACCTTTTATAGGTTATACTAATATAAACAAACTTGGTTCAACAGATATATTTGAGTGCAACAACTTCAAATAATCACAAATTAACAACATCCAATGCGGGTGAAATTGTCGAACATATTATATGTATGTCAAGTGTAATCAAGATCTATCAACAATATTTGTTAAATACACATAACTATGAATTAAAGTATTAACTAACCAACAGGGCCACTATATAGTATCTGCAGAATACGTAGGTGAATCAGCCATCTTCTTAGATGTATTAAATGACATTTCATACACGACAATTTAAATACGGAAGCAATAAATAGTTTTAGCCCCGGAGAGAAAGGCATCTCTGCAGAGTCAAATATATACTGCCAGCCATGTTGCTGATGTCTGTAAATTTAAGCAAAGTGGCTCCCTCTTTAGGGATCACCAGAACTAAACATGGCTACAGGTTATACCTAGTTATCAGTAATAATGTAGTAAAATTATTGTTGATGCCTTGTTTGCAGATTTTTTTTTCTATTCCTAAACTAAGTTTTTTACATGTAAAGCTCAAAAATGTATTTTAAAATATATAAAAACATATTACTAATCTACTACGGTTTCCATAGAGATACTGTATAAAGTTAAAACGCGTTTAAAGTTTTAACATTTCCTTTTCCGATGCTTTTATCTGTTTTCCAATAACAATAAACACAATATAAATTATTCTGAAATTGTTGGAGTTGTACCTCTTTACATTTTATATTATATTAATTTTTTCGAGTTGGATCTATTGCTGGGCCCACACTACAGGCAAACTCGGTTTGGCAAAATTTCTGGCAAACTTGCGGCAAAATAAGGAACTAATCGAAGCTCGTTAACCATGGAAAATGTGCTCAGTAGGACGGAGTCAGTCCAAGCAAACAACATGGACCTTCTAGAATTGCCGTGGGGTTGATTGCTACTTTTGGTTATTTCTTCTATAAAAAAAAAGCAAGTAGAAGAAAATAAGTGGAGAAAACAAAGAAGATGACAGATGTCGAAAATTCATGAGAATCATACAAGGTAAGCATAAAATTGATCTTAGTTTTCCTTATTAATATGAATTGTTTATTTCTTTGCTATGACATTTCTCTATAAATACATTTTACCTTGTTTTTCAAAATATATTTCTGTAAAGCTAATTAACGCGATTTTATGTAATTTTTCACACACAATTGCTAGGATTGTTAATTTCCTTCCGTTAAACATAGTCAATTATTAATTCTCTAACCAGTGAAAATTCTTGATATATCCTCCGTTTACTGCATTCAATTCATGCACTATGTGCATATTTGATATAGGTTAACTTTCAAGATTTTTTTTTTTTTTAATTTTGACTTTATTTACCTATACAAAAACACTGTATGGGCATGGAAATGAAACAAGCCCTTTTATACATCAATTATACTTACAAGAAGCACACAATTTTCTGATTTTATAAAGAAAAAGATATTCAAAGTTCTTGATTACTTAAGAAATAATGAATTTTCACTTAATTACTTTGCAATGAGCTGCCAATTGTTTTTTCAATTGTTTGATTCAAGGAATGCATTTAAAAATTTTTTTCTCCATTTATTTATGAGGTTCTTTGATTTACTGTATAGACATTTTTTACAATTTAGTGAATGGTTAATTCCTCTTTTACTAAATTTGCAAGTGTTACTTTATTATTTTTCAATTCAAACAATCAATTAAGTCTGTAGTAAGTTAATTTAGTTCTATTTTCTTTTCTAACGTCCAACTTAAGTACATCATCGCAAAGGAAACAATGGACAAGGGGTGTTAATTATTTAGCATTTAACTGGTTATTTATATTTAGTTAATTGGAAGTTCATTGTTAGTTTTCGATATCCCTCCTAGTCTATGATTAAGTTATTTTTTTTATACTTTTTCATATAGCAAAACAATGTACATAGGGTAATGACTATAAAGAGAAAATGCCCTATGATGCCTTAGCCATTCTGTCTTGTTTCCTTAACCCTCCACATTATCTGTTTACCCGTAACAAATTATTTATTTTCTTCTGTTATGAATTTGATTCCATTGTTTCCTATTTCAATTAAGGATTAGTTTTGTTTTTTCCTCGACTTTCATTATTAATGTAAATGTTACATAGCTTTTATTTGTTCTCTGTAAAATTGAGTCTTAAAGTGTGCCAGACATAGACCCTCCTCTAAAAATGAAAATCTCAACTAAATGTGTTATAAGCATCGCAAAAAATAGAAGGGAAAAAATTATAACGAAATTAAAAAATCTGATTTTTTAGTTGGATGATACCAGGCCTAAGATTGGTAATTTTTTTTTTTTTTTCCAGCGTTCCCCTACTGTTGAGTGTGAACATGAAGGACAGGCTGAAGTACTCGATGATTCATCTTTATTGAACAACGGTATGTATTGCAGCCTAAGACAAAAAAAAAAAATCAAACAAAGGCGAAGAGGAAATTATGGCCCCGTTCAATAAACTCGTCCAAATAATAGAAAAACAGTGCGGAAATACAAATAAACCCAAAACAATTGCACAGAATTATGGGTCCATGTTAGGAGAAGGGTTGGACCAATTACCTCAACCAGAACAAAGTTTGTGCATATGTGAAATGGAACGAGGCTTGGGGAAGATGTGTGCGGACTTTGTGGAATAAAAATATTTGTAATATTGAAACCAGCACTAGTTTAAACAAGATGGCAGCCTGTGCCCGTGGTATTTTTAATGCACCATAAAGAGTGATTTTCCAGCAACATGCTGGGCCATTTAAAAAATATAAAACAGACACTTTTTCTGTAAATACTAGTAAGGTTGTACCTCCAAAAAGACATATTATTAATAAAGCCTTTTTAAAGGTGTTTGAAGAAGATGGAGAATAATCCAGTAAATTATTAGAATACTCATTAGTTATTATTCAGCTTTTTCTAATGCATTTAAAAATGCTTTATTTGTAATGTTAAATTCCTTTAATCATGATGTTGTATAAACAAAAACATATCTTGTATTCATTAATTTGTATGTTGTATTAATTCATTTATATTTTGTATTGTATATTTGAACCTAAAAATATTTATTTGTTCATTAATAGAATTTCTATTTTGTATAATAATAACAAAGTTAGGATATAAAGATTAATTTTCTAGCAACATTATAATTATTAAATTTAGTTTATGTATATGATTTATTATATTTTGCAAATATATGGGTTGTATGTATTATAAATAACATCTTCCATCATTTCCCTTCAAACATATATATTACAACTTGTGTATAAATAACCAATAAATGATAGGTATATGTCAAATTTCTAAAATTAAAAATGCGAATAACAAAACAAAGGCAGTCTCACTATGTGGTTAAAATTTCCACACTTAGACTTAATTGTTATTTTAATCAGACAATGTTTTATACAAATATAACTTTTTTAGGCTTAGGATGGTTGATTATTTATTGAAGTAGGCATCAAAATTGGCACTGTATGATGTTAGTCTCTAACCATGATACAGTCATTTAATTACAAATATAGTATTGTATTATGGTGTTTCAATATGTGCTTAAAATGTTATTAATGCAGCTTTATTAGAGTCTAGGTTAGTAATTTTGTGAGTTGTTCGGTTTTATTTGAACTGAAGATATAGAAAGAAAAAAAAAAACAGATGTAGATTAACACTAATGTCTGTGAAATGTAAAATTAGTTGACAGACCGATACAAATATGGGCACTAAAAAAGAAACTGATAAACTGATCATTTTAAAAAAATAATGAATACTTGTTTTCAACTCTCTAAAGTAGAATAAGCATAGGTTAAAAAATAAATATATTTTGAACTTTTTTTTTATATTGACTAAATAATATGTGAAAATGGATATTATTTTATTTTAATGTAATGCGAAGTATTGGGATCATTAAAAATTTCAACTCCGAGTTTTCAAAAACATAAAAAAACTTTTTGCTTAATGGTTTTTTTGTGTAAATGCAGAATCTATCTAAAAAATGAAAAGTTCAGTGATTATACTTATTTATTAAGGTAGATAGGAGTATGGCAGCGATGTTAGGGCAAATTGTTGGCTGAAATAATATTACCAAAAGTGGAACTTGACATAATTGGTTTTATAAAGTATTTCAATTCAACTATAAAACGGAAATAAACAATGAAGAGTAGTATTAAATGAAGAAGAAACATAAAATGGAATAATTAGATATGAATAATAAAATGTAATTAGATGAATTAACAAAAACTTAGTTTATGATAATAAAAGGTAATGAATAAGTACGAAAGGTTATGATATATATACCTGACACTCAAAAAGATGATAAGTACAAATAGCAAATATATGGAAATATAATAAATCAAATAAATATATATAAGTAATGACAAATGGGAAAAACAAGTAATGGATTAAAAGTTTTGTTATTTAAAATATATTATGTAAAAATGTTCAAAAATATATGTTATATTTCATTATATCTTATTTAATTTTATTTATATGAACCCTTCCGCTAACAAACTTCCATAATTCATTTAATGGCAAATAATATCTTCATTTAATTTTTGTAGTTTATAATGATTTGTTTGTTATTACTGAAAGACAGAAAGCTGGTTGCACAGAAAATTTTGATTAAACTCGTGTATTATTGTATAATTAAGTGGTCTTTAATATCATTGAGGTCTTATCCCCATTAATGTCACTTTACATAGCTTAAATGCCTAAATGTTCAACATTTCATCCTCTAAAGTACCTTTAATTTGATTAATTTTTAATAATTAACCATCTCTCATTATTAAGAATTACGAAAAAATGCTAAATATAACTTTTGAAAGAATTTGATAATTGAAAAATGGAGAAAAAAGGGAAAATGTGTATTGAGGATGAAAATGAATTACCGGCAATACTTGTCAGAAGTTATATCATTGGAAAACGGATAATTTTAGAAAAAAACAATATGAAATATAGAATGTAATGGAGAGAGATTATTATAAATAATAATTTGTGTAAACTAATATTATTTAACGGAAATCACATTTTTTCAAGGAAATTAAATAAATGAAATTTACTAACTAAATTTAAATTGTTTTTAAGTTTGAAAAAGTATTTAAAATTCACCTAATCAACGCAATGTTATTGTTAAAAAACTATTTCATAGTACTAATGTGAAAGAAGTGAAATATAAAAATATTAAATGGATGTATAAAGCCTATGTTTATAACCTTAAATACATTTACTGTAGTTTAATAATTCTAAATCTGATATTATATTTAAATAATTAGGTATCAACGTCCGTTGATCGTCGTATAACATTTAAAAAAATTAAATTAGTGAGTAATTTGATGAATTTTCCCTTTGTTAAATTAGTGTAACAACTTTTGAGCTATCTATGACAGGCTATGAAAATCTCGTAATTTCTTTGTAGTAAACTTTACAATGGAAAGTAACAGTTTAATAACTAATAGGCGTAGAATCCATAATAATTTATAGGTTGAATATAGAGATATACTTGAAAATCTCTCTAGACATATGTATATTGCTCAGAGACCGGAGTTATA